ATATATTTGGCACAAAGCTGCGGTTTTATCCTGACGAGGTTGAAGCATTTTGAAATGAAAGGCTGAGTATTTTTTTATGTTTTTGGGGTTTCGTCCATTTCGCAATAGTGTGATTTTAAAGCACTCAGGACCGAAGAAGCAGATTCTGATTGTAGTAATTGAGCGGTAAAAATGTGGTAAGGCTAGATGGAGTCAAGCAAGGCTTGATCGTGTTGTGTTATTTATTAAATATGGAGATTTTAAAGATGTCAATAATAATTGCCATAGAAATCAATACCAAAATTATCAATTACTTCTTTCAAAAGAGGACTAAACTTTGAAGAGGTTGTGATCTTGTTTCTTTTCATGTTCTTGTTGAGCGACAGAGATGGTGTTGATGTATCTGAACCACGACGAGTAGTGGAAGAACAAGTTGAAGTGGTATGTGTATTGGATGAAGAGGAAGTTGCATCACTGTTGCGTGTTTTGGTTGAAGAGGAAAGGGTTTTGTGCATTGGTCGAAGAGGTTGCTGTTGTTCTTGTTGATGAGTTTGCTGTTTGGTGGTTGTTGTCGGAAAAGACATGTTGGGAATGTATTGGCAGAACATGTTAACAAACCTGCATTAAATTAAGGTCTTCCATTCTGTATTCCCATATTTTTCTTCTTCTTGGTCCTCTTTGATTTGCCTAATGGTCACAACCGCCATTCTTGAATACCAAATTCGATTGATGTCAATTCAAAGATTTCACGTTGTTCCATTCATAATCTTTCTTCCTCGATAGCTCAAAAATCCACCATGAGTTTGTGAGTGGAACGGTGCAAAAACTACTAGATCAATTCTGTTGGTTATCATGGACATAATTGTGAAAGTTTCATTCAAACCAAATCATGCACTGCATATTGTTTCCAAAATAATAATTTCTTCTGAATCATTCTTGTCCAAAAAACTTCATGGCTTCAATATGTTGGAAATACGTGTGAGTTGGTCTTTGCTTGAACTTTTTCCAGCACCATTTTCAGTAATGATTGGACATGAAGTGTGCACTTTTCAATTATTAACAACCCGTATGGAGTTGTAGGTGCTTGAAATCCATATCTCAGCACAAAAAACATCAATTCAATCTTGTCAGAAATTGAAAAAGAAACTGAGCTCAGTCTCTCCACCAACATTTCAACCAAAGATTCCAGAGTCATTGGTGCTGATTCAATATCTTGCATGGCGCGCTTTACAACTTCATCATTCATACTTATCAGCGAAGCTTCATTTGTTTTTGACTCAATTAATAGAGGAAAATATTGCTCCTTCACTGATGTAATGCCATGACTGTTGAGCAGTACAGGATGTGGTTGCTTTACATTCAAAAAATTGTCGATCATTGTTGGAGAATAAAGAGAAGGCAAGGATTTCTGAAGGGTAGGCTTTGTTAAGTTCTTTCTATTATTATGCAAGAGTTGACATGTCGGCAAGCAAATCACCAAAGCACAAAGAAAATGAAAATCCTCTCCTCTCGAAACATTCTCAGTGATTATCTTTCGAAAATCAGAGTTGTAATGGATTGCCACCTCTTGTTCAACTGATTTCTTGGTTTGGAAATGATCCTTTAAAGCCATATTCCAGTGTTGATATGCTTCGTTTCGTAACTGTTGATCATTATAATGCTCGCAGTAGATCACAGGTTCTAGAGTGCGGTCAAGCAGTGCTCCAAAAAGTAACGCATCGCCACAATTTACATGTGCAAATAGATCTTCAAGCACCAATGACACAGCAGAAAAGAATCGAAGCCTATGGGGTCGGTGAACTGGCTGTTCTTCTGATTTTACATTCAAAATCAACTTTTCATCACAAATACTGTCTGAAACTGATTGTGAAGCGAGATATATCAATACAAACGCTGGAGAAAATCGAAAGGGAATATTTTCGTTTCGAATGTAGAGCTTGTCACAAATACTCTCGCAAATGAATGCTAGTTGTTTAGAACCTAACAATATACAATGTTCTGCCAGGTGTATATCCTTTAAAAGTCCACAAGTAATCCAATTGGATATAGTCAGTGACTCTCCATGAAAATGTTGTCTCTCCAAAAATCTACAAAGATTTTCAACAGCCGTGGCGCCCGTATGAATATCCTCACGAGATAACCTGCTATAGATCAGATCGGGAGTAATTTCTGAAATGGATAAAACACCTTCTTCATCATTTTGCTGGAATAATTTTGCTCTCAGCCTGTCCAATACCTGTAAAAAATTTTTCAAAAGGGCATCAAGAGGAGAATTAGGAAACAAGTATTCAAATAGTGCGAACATGAAAGAAAGCCATGCGTTCTCGTTTTTCTTTCGTGATAAATTAGATATTCTATTTTCCCACTCAGCATATCTGTATGACAGAATGATTTGCATAATGTACACACAGAAGTACAATGCTCAACAACTTACAAATTCCTCCTGTGAGCTGATCTCGTTAACAATAATTGTTGAATATGCAACTGATCATAAGGAAGGTACTTGTTTATGAGCAAGCAAAAATATTCTACTTCCATTAGTCGAAAGTCATCAGAAAGTACGCAACAAATCTCACCATTCTCGGATCGATTAATTCTCCATACTGGTTCTCTCATGGCAACACTGGAAGAGTGTTGAATAGATGGAGGTTCAGGTATATTGTCATTATATTCTCCTTGTGTCATGAGTAAATTAATTTTTCTCGAGAGAGGAGCCCAGCTATAGGGGCCATACGATTTCTTTGAGGTCTCTAACTTATCCCACTCCTCAAAAATTGTATCCAATATTCCACCAAGCAATTGCACAGATCCAAATAATTCGAGAAGCGAGTCGCTGTTATATTCGATTCCATAATTTAGGAATTTAGGAAATTCAAAATATCTAATGTGTGGATATGTTTCAGCAGAATAGTAGTCTTTACAACAATATTTGCTATCCAGTCGCATATATCGTAAAGGCACAAATAAATTATTGAAACATGCACTGAGAAAATTGATATTATGTGTATAATGTTTTAAATTATTTTCTTCGCAGTACATCCTTTTGAGCAGTTTCAGGCAATGTTGTTGTTCGTGGAGAGCTGCTTCAGAGCTTGGAAGCAAGATATTAAATTTTGCAACTTGCCTATTCCATTCCGATATTAATTGTTGATTTTCAATGCTCCTCTTGTTCATGATCTTTTTTGAAGTCTTGTTGTTGGTGGATGATGATAACGAAACTATAGTGTTATTCCTACCATCATCATAATCCTCCTCCGAATGCAATTGTTCTTCTACATTCTTGTTATGATTACAATTCCAAACATCATTCAACCAATTCATCAATTGTCTCTCCTCAAAATTCCACCTCCAATCCGAGAGGTTCTCCTCTTCTTCTCGAGTAGACTTGTCTGTTCTCTGGTTTGTTGTTGGAGAAAATAAATCCACTACTGGCTTCATCTTGTCATTTTTTTTGTTTCACACAAAACGCTATTTTGTTGTATTGTAAGCTTATCCAACTAATGGTCGAAATTCGAAACACATCCTGACAATTGTTGTGAAGAACAAACGTACGGTCCCTCCATGGTCTCACCTTATTCATAGCTTTCAGAGGTTGCCTCTGATTCTATTTCAAGTCTTTTGCAAGTTCATCCTTTTAACAATAAAAATGAAATTACAGCAAGGACTTTGCCAGCCTCGACTTTGCCTCCGATCGAACAGTCCACTTGTTTTCAAAAACCAAGACTCTCTGTATCAAGTAGATCCCTATCAAGTAAAATTTGATGATTCTGAAAGCACGGAACGAGTGGTGTATGATTATACAGGTTCAATTTCGGAGGATGTCATTATGATCGCGAGTTCGTTCACTAAATTTTATTTGGTTCATCAAGATATGAGAATTACAGGTATGATGATATGCTTTGATTGAAAAATATGATCGATTTCAATCTTTCACATGTGATTTGATGATCGTTTTTTAAAAATCGTCTGATATTTCATTAGAATTTGATTTAACCCATCAGGTGATTCGAATCATTGATGACATCAAGCAATTAGGTCTTTCTATCAAGTTTATTGATTGTGGAGACAATACTCTTTGGATAGTGACGGATTGTGATCGAATGTTTAACTGTGGAGAAGAAATTTTCGGACAACTCGGTAGAAGTAAAAACACAAAGCACAAAGTCCTCAAAGAAGTAGACAATGCATTCATACCACAACATGGAAAAATAACACATTTTTCATGTGGAAGATATCACACCTGCCTTGCCATCAATGAAAAGCAAGTGTACGGAGTTGGTTATTCGTCTTTTTATCAAACGGTATGTCTTCCGAAAATCCATTCAATTTCATCTAGTCACACATAATTAGGGATTGAGAGCAACAGGAGATGCATCACACTTTGAGAGATCTTATTTCAAATATATTAATCAGAATGGAACCACTCAGCTCTTGCAAGAATTTCCATACACGATTAAAAAGTTGTCATGCAGTCGATATTTCACAGTCATAGTTTCCAGTAAGTATTTTAGGGTTGTAAAAACAAACATTGATCAATATTTACCCCAAATATACATGAAGATGTCAATGAGTTTTGGGTCACAGGTTCAGCAGAAAATAACCAAAGTAAGTATTATTGAAAGCGAAGTCACACAATTCCAAAAATATCATTGAAACAGCTTTTACAAGAGAGACATGCGAATGCTTCACTAAAATCCTATTCGACAATATTATTGACGCATTTCCTGCAAGAATTGGCTATCACACTCATGTAATTACATCTGGCCAACAGAGAAAAGCACCAGGACCTTTTGCAGTGGTGAGCGCTGGGTGGAATGACAACAATCAATGGTATGTGAGTGTTATAGGGATTCATATCTCTGAGTTAAATAATAATCCTATGATTGATTTTCATAGTGGAACTAAAACTAAGGTGGACTCGTCATCGATTAATGACTTTATGGATTTACCCATTCTTAAACAACACGACCCAAGAGTAGCAAACATTCAACTATTTCCTATCTTTACTCGAAGTTATTTAAGATATGAAAATTTATGTAAGTTTTTATTGGATTGAGGAAGTCATTCACACATGCATTCATGTATAATACATGTTTCAATTCCATCACACGTTTTACGACCGAAAATAGTATTTGGAACATGTGCACCCCAAGGTTCTAAAACATTTTACCCAATTGAGCTTCCCTTTCACTTTTCTCCAACCGATCGCCTAGTGGTGGCTGGAGGAAACACTTTCACATTATTCTTTGTGAGTAAGTTTTCAATCGTTGTGAATGAGAATATATACAGTACATCATGTTCGCCAAATCATTTCTTTAACCCTCAAAAACTAATCATGTGCCATCTACAACTTAGCAACGTCTACAACACGTGACATGGAATACTTTCTCAGCAATTTGAAGAACGTTGGATCTGCATTTGCAGATGTAACTTTCTGTTTAAACAGCCGGTCCATGTTTTAGAGAGATAATAACCTATTCTTCTGACTGAACCTGACACACGGTAGATTTAGCAGCCACTTTCTATTCGTATGATTCACTTCCTTCTTATTTTGATGACCATGAGATTCTTCTGCCTGGAATAGTTGCAAGAATTGCAAAAGAAGGGAGAGATCATGGTACCCAAATCAATAAGGCCGACGAAGAAATCAATAACTCCTGCATTATTATGGCACTTTCCCCTTCTTGCTAATGCCATCATCCACCCTGCTGTTGCTTGTGTGTGGGCTTGTTTTGATGTTGGTAGTAGCAGATGATGATGTGCTTACCAAAATCATTTACACTGTGTGAAATGATCCGTTTAACCTGTTTGTTGTTGAAGATGATTTACCTGCTGATCAATCACCAAGATGTTGTTCAACAGAAGACATCTTCAACTCCACACTGGAGTTCCTCCATCTCTTATAGCTGCATGGGCAACGTGAAAAAATCTTTCAAGTTGAAGTCTACTTCTTTGTTGCTCAACCGATATGGTGTTTCTTTTTGGCTTATTAGTAGACAGTACTTTTTTCGCAACATGTACCAAAAAGGAAACAATGTTTGAGGTTGGAAAAAGGTGTCATCCTTACTTTTTTTATCTCAGAATTATCATTTAGCCAGACGTATCTAAATGGTGTTTCCACCGAATAGGAGAAATACAAGACTGTATATTACTGCTTTTTGAGAAGTGTGTGTATTCGTGGATTCGATATCCTTCTCTTTATGAATCAACATGTTGAAACTCTCTTCAACACCTGTAGCATCTTGTATCTCACACAACTGGAGGGATCTGCAAGGAGGGATCTGCTGATGAGAGAGAGATGAGAATGACTTCATTTCTGCTCGTAAATGGTGGTGGTTTGAATCTTGCCGTATTTATCCTTAGAGAGAGGTTCCTGACATACAACCCCATCTCAAACCATCTCAAACCATCTCAAACCATCTTCTCATTGGATTTACAATCAATTTACAAACAAGAAGCGGCTAATACGATTTGGCCGAATATGACCTTGATTAGTTCCTTTTTTGTACAGAATTGGAACGATGGACACAGACACAAACATCAAGAAATTGGATGGCGGCAGTTTGCGGTGTGCGTGGAAAATTAATTTTTACACCATACTATTTGGTCTTGTTCACAAACAATCACCCTTCAGAAGTTGTTGTGAGTCACATCTCTCTCGGAAAGCTACCCAGCCCAGGTCCAAACACAACAAATTTGTGTGCTGTGTGTGTTTGTTGTGAGAGAAGGGAACTATGTTGGTGTTGTGGTACCACAAAACTTGCTCTACTAACTGCCACAACCAACACCACAAAAACAAATCTCCCTAACACATCCTTCCAAAAAATGCAAGTCCCTTCTTCGAACTCTTGTTCACCACGAGAAACCACTGCGACCAACTTCGCATCTGAAGCAACGCAAGTTTCAGGAGAACTCATCAATACTACTAACTACATGGGGCCAAATATGGATCAATACCATCAGGAGAAGCTACAACAAAGAAGATCACCTGTGTCCAGCGGTAGCAACACCACAATGATAAGTAAAGGACACCAAGGTGGACAAGATGATGGACATTGCAGCTCAATCCAGTTCAAATCAGGCAAGCCAAGTGCGCACTCAAATTTGTTGAAAAATACATTGGCGAGCAATACAATGATGACCACCACTACACCTGAAGTATTATGCCCTTCTTCCCATCTGATATCATCGTCATCCTTATCCAGACCGTTACCACAAGAAGAACCACGAGAAGAACGACACGAACCACATCAATCATCCAATCATCACCTCCTCCACGACTCCGTCCTTGGTGCTACTACCAATCCTGTTCACTCCTCCTTGTCGGGGAAACACGAAGAAAAGACCACCGCCATAGTCATTACTCCCACGAACCACCATCACGACCTTCTCCTCGTTCTAAATCAAGCCAAGAACAAAATGAATGTAGCGGCCATGAGCGATGAGGAGAATCATCCACCCACGAATAGTAGCAGTAGCAGTAGCAGCACCACGGAAAGGAGGATCATGGCATCAACAACGACAGACATGGCCACGTCGAATGGCTCTCCTCCAATAAGTTCTTCATTATTGACTCCTAATCAGATTGCAAACACAAACACAACAGCAACGGGAACGGGAACCAGGCTTCCTTCTCTTCTCTCACCACCACCACCACTATCCTCTTTCCAACCACCACCACACAACCAGCCTCAATACTCTTCCGGAAGTTCTGTGTTGTTATCGGCCACTTCCATGAGTCCCCTTCCTCCTCCTTCCATGCTTTTATTACAAGAGCATGAACAACAACATTACCAATCCTCCCTTTTATTGATGCATCATAGTAACAATAACCAGCAGAGCAGTCAGAACAGCCACATGACCACCACCAACACCTCCACGAAGACGGAATCCAAAGCCGAAAGTACCACCACCACTACAAGTGAATCTGGTGTCGCAAATGGCGCTGACTCCTCTGTCCATCATGCTCCATGGCGGATGCATGCATCTAGTACAACCACCTCTTCGGCTGCAATGGGTCATAGCGTGGCAACCACCACTTTGCCCATTCCTGTCCATCACCTGAGTCATCCACCTAGTTTGCATCCCAATAACCCACAACCACAAAACAACAACAGCAGTATCACGGATGGATCTTCTCATCTCACAACAAGCATGAACATCCAACAAAACAACATGCCGATGCAACACCGAGAAGGAAGTGTCAACAATCCAACCATTAGTACCAGCAATAATAGTACAACACCATCATCAACACCATCATCAACACCAACAACAACAACACGAACGAATCATTTGGTGCAACCTCCATCCAGCAAGCAAAAATTAGGAGGCCAACCATCGATCAAACAAGATGGAAAGAAGGCAAGCGGTGGTGGTAGTGGTGGAGAAGGAACGACCTCTGGTGGTGGTAGTGAGAATTCGAACAAAACATGTGTTATTTGTGGAAAAGCAGATACAGGTAAGTATATCACTATTGGATGAATTTCAACGATGAGATTAATGCATCTATGTGTATGACATGTATATATTGTTGTGGTTCGTCATCACATGTACATTTGCTTCATCATCATGTTATCCAACACATGCTTGCTGCCCGACGTTGTGTGCATGAACAACACACATTCATCACGTAACACATGGAATGCGTTTCAATTATGCATGATGACGTATACGATGGATGTGCCCATGTGATCTACTCATCTCTCTCAAATGCATATATTTGGTTGATCTGTCTTTTTGAATGTTTGGAAATTTTCTCAATTCATCATGTCATCTTTTTTTTTTCAATCTTTCAATAATAGGCAACAAGTATATTAGTTATACTATTAACGAATCGAATATTGCGCAATACAGAGGATGTTTTGCACATGTGCCCAATATTAATATTGGAGATGGAGTTTGCAAGAACTGTTACGCAAAGGTGAGTACTCGATAATTGTTGTCAGATACGTCTTCTTATTCATGGAATTCGTTTTTGAATGAAACACACACACATGTTTATTGTCCATCCATGAACACTTGAATGCATTTGAAAATTTCATGCATGAACGAATTTTCGATTATCGTTAGAAATACAAATTCGTAAGTTTGATTGCTTGATAATTACTCTGATGTTCATCCTTAAATGCATCATGTATTGATGTATATTTCTATCATCTACTCGCATGATCAACATGCTCATTCTAACACATGAATGCATGATGTTGTTGTTACATTCCTAATTTCAGGTGACGGGTCTTTCGATCAATAAGGTGAAACGAAAACCTGGATCCACACCTCAAACATCCTCTCAACAACAACAACATTCTCACACTCCCACTTCAAACACTTCAAAACCTTCTTCTTCTGCTCAACAACGTGTCACTACTACTTCATTGAACAAAACATCATCGAGAGGAAATGCACATGCATCGTCCTTGTCATCATCATTCTATTCACAACCAACAACACTGTCATCATCTTCTCATCATCATGCTACAAGTGGTGGTGGTGCTGCTGGATACATTTCCCCATCGATCAGTGAAAATCAGAGAGTAATATCTGCTGCATATCCGTATTGTTCGACTACTGGGGAATCATTTGCTAATAGTGGAAATCACGAATATCATCATCTTTCAAATGAACAGCAACAGCAACAGTTTTATCAAACATCACCTGACGAACGACACTCTTATCATGATCAATATTATCGTGGACGAACTATTTCTTCGGAAATGCATGAAGTGTCTCATTCCAACAGTTCATTGTCGAGAACAACTTCTAAAAGTTCAATTCCTTCTTCTTCGTATTCTCAACAACAACAACACTATTCACAAAGATTATCTTCTTCTTCTTCGTATGAGACTCCTAGGACTTCTCCTATGAGTAGAGATTATTTGTATCATCCTTATGCTGCTCGATCCACATCGTCGACGACGCATCATCATCACTCTACTAATTACCATTCAGAAGCTGCACATCATCAACCATCCACCACCTACACATCTTCTCCTCCTTCCTATCATTCAGATTATTATGCAAATTCCATCGTGGAGAGAGGAAGTGGTGGTGGAGGAGGAGCAGTGTCACCCATGTCACGATCGTACTATCCACCAGAAAATGCACATCCACCTTCATCCATGGGAAGAATGCCACCTTATGTAAAGTCAACATCTCCTCCCTACCACACCTCTCCCTCTAATGAGCTTTATCCAGATGCTTTAATGCCAGCATCACATTCTTCTCATCGAAGAGAAAGTAAACATTCATTACCTTCTCATCGATATCATCCCTATGTATCTTCCACATATACTGATTCCTCACAAAAAGAAGGTTTAAAACATGTCGTCAACTCTTCCTTGCCATCATCAGAGGTTGCTACATCAAGAAATCTTCCTTATGGAGTGGTTTCTACAGGAGTGGCCGTACCATCTCAAGAAACAGGCAAGAGAGAAGCGAGAGCCTCTCACTACGATCCTCTTCGAGACAATTCTTCGAACCATTTACATTTTACTGCCATGTCAGGAGTTTCTCAAAATAAGCAAGAACATCGAAACACAGAAAATGATCCAATGAAAGACTCTAAAAGTAAATTACCTAGCGTGAAGGATTTGTTAAATTTTCCCAGTGAATCAAACACGAACACTGATGACCCGAGTGGGTTCAAGAAAGCAAACAATCCACAAAATGAAATCAATCGGCAGTCATCTTTTTTTTCCAAGTTCATAGATGACACGGCTTATAAGAAACTACCGAAAGAATCATACATGAGCATGACGGATGGAATGAGTCAAATGGAAAAGTTTAATTTAATGGATATTTCTCAACAACGCATGGTAGATATTATTCTTTCATTTGTCACAGAGAAGGTGCCATCAGAATCTTTTTCTACGAGAATGTCCATTCCAAGACATGTTACACTCTCTGATTTAAGAGAAAACATTAATGAACGAGCAAGAAAATGCTACTTGTTGGAAGGATGCAACGCTCACATTCCAAACGTTGGAAATATTTTGTTAACAAGGGATGAACGTAACTTTATCGAAATCGATGACAATTTTTGTTTGAGCAACAGATTTGAAAATAATGACATGCTGAAAGTTGTTATGCAATCAACAGAATGACTAAGGTCAACGATTCTCGTGAATGGAATCACATAATTATATTATTTATAATGAATGGAATTTTTGTAAAAGCTCCAAATTTTGTATAACTTGCAAGACAGTGTTTTTGAAAATCATGAAGGGCCTTCTTCTAAATAAAAACTCTCACCTCGTAGACTTTCCTGAGATATCCGTCCGAAACCTGCGTTGATAGTCAGAAGAATGGAAATAAACGCATTATCTCACTCAAGAAGAACCAAATATCAAAAATAATTTTAAGTGAGCTGACATATATTTTACAATTTTTATTTACAAATACTTTGACAAAACGATTCTTCAAATCATGATGTGATCAACAGTTTTCTTCGGATCGCTCCGTAACATTGATTGGATCAAACTCTCTGCTGATCAACTAAATCAAGCAACTGCTTTTGATCATTCATTGCATTCATCATTTGTTTCATAATCCGAGTGGATAAACATTGATTAATATATATTACAATCAATGATCCATTTGCTCATTGATCATCATCATGATCATTAAAGAGATTTGTAGTGCTTGGTTCTTTCGTTCTTTTATACTTTTGCTGTGCTCGTTGTAAACTTCGTAGCAATTCATTGGGATGTTTCATACTCTCTGAACATTGACTCCATAGGCGTTCAATGTCGTAATTTCGATACAAGTAAATTCCTGTGCATGCTCCTAAAACAATGGTTGGCAACATTTTTGAGATCAAGAAGGATAATAATTGAAGAGAGAATAATTGCTGAAGACGAGAATAGAAGGCTAGTGTTGAGGGCTTTTTTTTGGAGTTTTGAAAAACAAGAAAATTGTATTGGAGGCTTGAATGTTTTTGGTCAATTATGGCAATTTTTGGGGTTTCAATTTTTTCCTAAAGCGGCGACTTTTTGACATTTGGCAGGCTCTTGATAGGTGTTGGTCATAAAAAAAAGGCCATTTTATGAGTGTTGGTGGCGAATTCTAGTTTCAATACTTCCTTTGAACCGTGTGCTAATTGGTTGGCATCAAAAATCATTGTTCCCGTTATTAACATCCACATGTCATGAACATGTCATCTGATTATGAAACCCTTCCATGATGCATGATCGGATGAAACCAAGCATTGAAATCCTTATAAAACTGCTAAAACAGTTGCAACAGTTTGAATGATGCAATTGATGTTGACCTCTTGTCATACTATTTCAAACATTTAGAAAAATTCGCAATCTAAGGAAAGAATGGAGTAAGGTGCAAGTTCCCCCCAGAAGATGTGTATGATTCAAGATGTAGTGAACTTGTAGTTCATGAATGAGAATCTACGGGTCTGTTCTTTCTACAAATTTGACGTGCAAACAACTACCGGATCACAGAACTACAACGTTAAGGACAATCTCTCCTTCAAGTAGTAAGATGATCCTCTCCCGATTTGTTCATTTACCTTTTACGTTGTGTCCTTTCGTGGACAAAAGAAGACGGATCAATCTCTGTTGTAGTGTACTTAATGCTATTCGTATTGTTCTTTTTTCGAAAAAAAACAATAATATTAAAAAACACACAAACATGATCAAAGTATTTTCAACTCTTTGTGTCATTGGTTTCATCCTCTGCTTACTTTCCATTGGTTATTACGGAGAAGAAGGATTCCATGGGTGGGGACGTCATCGTCGTCGTGGTAAATGTCCTCGCCTTGCAACTGCAATGACAAACTTTTCCTTATCACAGTTTGAAGGAGATTGGTATGAAATTGCAAGATTGCCTAATCGTTTTGAAAGGTTCGTTGTTGTCTTATTCAATGTTATTATATTAATCGGTATTCATTAATAACTCAATCATGTGTGAATATGTGTGAATCATGTCCTGATCATCCTCAATGATTATCAATGATTTTGCAACAAACAAATATTGCAGAGGTATTTGTCAGTCCGTCTCTTTCTCACAAATCCAAAAAGAAAATTCAACCAAAATTAAGGTGGCCATTGTTGCAAAGGAATATCGAAATGGAGAACTTGTCTCTAGAAACGTAACAGCAAAAGTTAAATCGTCCAACAATGCCAAATGGATTGTCAAGATTAAAGTCAAAAGAAGATTCTTCCATAGACTCGTCAAATACACTATCAAAGCTCCCTTGAAAATTCTAGATACTGACTACAGTAATTATGCTGTGTTATTGTCTTGTAAAGGCCGTAAACGTCGTCATGGTGGTTGTTACAGGAGACGTCATCGTCGACATCGAAGACGCTACGGTGGTTCATCAAATAGAAGAAAAAGAAGACATCACTGGTTCTTTAAACGTAAATATGCTTGGATTTTGGCACGTGAAAAGACAATATCAGATGACCAATTAAAGAACATTCTCGACAAATTAGAAGCCAAGGGAATTAAGACAAGAAAATTCAAGTTTGCAACACAACAATACTGCACTGTTGTTCATCAAACAGATTGAGGTGTACTCTGTAAATAATAAATTGTGACTATGACTTCATACTTACAACTGCATTTAATGGCATCCTTTAAAGTTTCTCCTCAATAACAGCTTGGCGATCCTGAGTTGAGATTGTCTCAGCTAGAATTACAGTTTCAACAAGTTTTTTTTCATTCATAGAGAGTTCCGCCATGCTTGTACTTTCAATATCATTACTGGATGTAGCGAGCATTGTGTCACCATGGCACATTGTGACAAAGAATGAGCTATCCAGACCTCGTTGTTTCAAGCATTCTTCCAAGTCTTTTTTGGGTTGCATGATTGGTTCTGTGGTCAAGATAAAAGTACCCCAATGCATCGATATTTGTTTTTTGGACTTGATATCTAGAGCGATCTGTACGGCCTCATCAGGATTGATATGTTGGTACTTCATCATCCATCTTGGCTCGTAGGCACCGATTGGAATGAATGATAGATCGATTGGACCAAAGCGATTTCCAATTTCTGTAAAGCATTCCTTACTGTAGCCGGTATCTCCAGCAAACCACATCTTGTATGACTTGATATTATCATTTGAGTTCATGTTTACCTCTTCTGTATGTTGTTCTTGTGTATGAGTTTGACAGCTATCAGAAGTGACACCTTCCATTTTGACATTCTCTGCTATTTCAAGGGTATTGCATGCAGTATTGCTTACATTTTCTATCGATTCAGATTGTGACTTGGTTTGTGACACATCGGAAGATGGATTTACAAAAGTGCATTGCACTCCCCAAGATCCCCATAAAGCCTCGTTTCGATCAAATCCAGACCGCATAGACCAGTGTTGGGCTGGCATGTAGGTAAAAGTAAAGTTAGATTCGACTCGTTCTGAGCTATCTTTGTCTAAACCTATGGAAGCATTGAAACTGGTAGATTTCCACCAATCTAGCTCCATTAGCTTCAACTTTGAAAGAGCAGAATGATTTTTCTCATTGTAAAACTTTTCCATCCAATCGTATTTCATTCGATATGGTAACAAAATAATTGGATCATGGTGTTTTTGTAAAGCAGTTATGGCATAATAATCTAAATGGTCGTAATGATTGTGAGAGATAATTACAAAATGAATGGTTGGTAGATTGTCAATTGTTATCGGTAGCGGTTTGATACGGTTAGGGCCCATGAACTGTACAGGAGAGCATCTTTCACTAAATACGGGATCTGTCAAAATATTTACACCACGATATTGGATTAAAAATGTAGAATGGCCAATCCAGGTCACTTGTGGAGCATCGCCTCTCACACTATGAATATCTGGATTATTCAATAAATTAATGTTTGGTTTGATTTGAGGTAATTCATCATTGGATGGTATAATTTGTTTGTTGAGAGCCATTTCTCTCTGAAATTTAAAAACGTCACCAGTCGAAGGTTGTTTAAAACCATCCCAAGGATTTTTAAATTCCAATAATTTAGAGCCTTTCATCACCCAATGGGACGGTATTGATTCAGCAGTCTCCTCTTGTTTTGCTTTTCTCGGCATCAAATTTTCAATATATACATCCTTGAAAACGTATGAATTTTGTAGTTTCGTTTGTTCATTCAAACACGAGCCAATCGGAACTCGTTCATAGTCTTCATCCATCCAAATGGACGCCTGAGTTGTATTCATCATCATCATCATGGTTGCAGAAGAGCACGACCTATTACTACTACCAGTTGTGGTGATATTGTGCGGAGCCGCAACGGAATGATGATACTGACAATGATGATGATGAGAAGTTCCGTTATGTTGCTGTTGACCCATTTTTTGAAATGATGATTCTTTGAGAAGAGGATTCAACAAGGAATGAAAGAGCCTTTTTTCATCATGATTCAAAAAGCCAGTCCTTCCCGTATAGCAATAATGAGAAGAGTTACCCCTCACCATCTTCAAGGAATAATGTTTCAGAATAAGAAATCCGGTGCTGGAGTCGCATGCTTTACGCCACACGTTTCGCATTTTGTTTTTTTGAGAAAGTCTCGAAAATGCTCGCACCTACAATTCCGAATAACAAATTCAAAGAAAGTCCGGCGGACCATTTTGAAAGTGACGCAATGATAGAGAGAGTCCTTTAATGTTCAGCTCAGAAGCACTTTCACCCGATTGCCTCTTGTAGAGAAGGTCTTTCCTTAAAACAAACCTAATATCTTGGAAGCAGTGGGTTCTCAGAGCAAGAGATGCGAAAGTCTTCTTCCAAACATTTATGGAATGGTGTGGGTTTCATGTGAGATTAATAATGACTTCAGTACCAAAATACCACAAGTTGATGCTCACAAAGTGTTGCTATTTTAAAAGCATTCTATGGATGAATTATTTAGCACCAGTTTATATAGGAATTATATTCCTATATTAATATATTTTCTTAGAAACCACCTTACTTCTTGGTTGTGGAGGTGGAGGATGGAGAAAGAGATGACAAGGATTGCTCAGAAATAAACAAATCTTGGTATGGTGGAATAATGCATTCGAATGATCTTTGAGGAGGACCATCCTTAGGACAATTTTTCATATAATCTCTAATTGCTGGTGTAAACGAATTGGAAATGTAGCATTGTTGACACAAATCATGTTTGGTTGGGATATGATGAAATCTGATACCAATAATGGTATTCATACATGCATCACATAGATAGTCATGTATAATGAGATCGTTCTTGTCAATGGGGTTCTTTAAAATGCAATGAGAGCAATAAAATTTCGACTTGTCTGATTTAGACTGATGGTGGTTGCAATGGATCGTTGGCAGTTTCCACACACTGAAACTTTTTGATGATGATAATAGTTGTGTATAATTTTGATTTGCTGTTGATCAGGGTTCTTGTTGATAATTATTATTTTCCTCTTTTTTGTCTTGGGTGCACAGTTCGTTTCGACGAGTGGGCAATTTTTGGCAATGCTATTTAAAATTCTAGTTGCATTTTTGGCTTCAGTTAAATGCTGAATAGGTTGTGGTGGAAGATCACAAATGCTATCCAAAATTCTTGTTGTACTTTCGTTACCACTCACATCAAGAACTGAAAAAGGAAGAACATCCTTAATTTCGTCCATCCGTGAGAGAATGTTTGTTGAGTAACTGAGTGTGTCTATATCTCGTTTTTTGAGACATTTGACACAATTACACACATCATTACAATGAGGGCAGGTCCAATTTTTGAGTCTATTACACTCACAAAGGGTAAGGGTGTATCTGTCCCAAAGACATTGATTGCAATAAGAAGTATTGCACTTGGTGCATGTTTTCGTACAATATTTTGGTTTGCTGTCATCACATTGATGGCAGGGTAAATATTCGGGAAATTCCTTATGATGTTTTGAGTAGTACATGTTGCTCCATGCAATGGTGGTAATTGAGGTGGTTTTACATGGATCCCTAGTGATCCAAATTGTCTTCTCTAGGTCATCCATGGTTGTAATATTTTCATTTTTCATCAATTGTTGAACGTTTAAATATGACTTCTTTGCCTGTTCAAAATTTTCTCTGAGTTCAGAAAAGCTGATGTGTTCCATGAGATTCATTTCGTCTCCAAAAAAAGAACCTCTTCCTTTTGCAACGCAGTTAATACACAAGTCATAGGCTTGGTGTAATTTTGTTTTTGCAACATGAAAACATCTGTTAAATATGTCACATTTACAATGATCGCAATATCTGGAATGCATATATTTTTCTGTCTCTGGGAGTTTTGTCACATGTAACTCATCATCAAAAACGTCGGATTCAATCGATTCCTCAAACAATATATCGTCAAAAATCCTAAGTAATATAAGCATATCATCTGAAAATCGTTTTCGTTCGTTTTCAGTAGATCCAATGTCCTCAAGTTTTGTGAACGATTGAGACTTTTCAGAATACTTGAGCATGGAGTAATATGTGACTGCTTTGATTCTATACACTTGATTCTTTCCGAACTTTCTATATTCGTCCAGTATTTCGTAAGAATAAGGTAAGGCAAGACAAGACAAGGTATTCCAAGCGACCTTGATGCTTTTCCTCCCATATTTAACACTTGATGAGGAGCACTTGGCGGCAATAAAACCAAATCGCCAAGTTTCTGCTCGAACAAATATACTGTGAAAGGAGCTTTTGATAAAATATGAAGAGGTAAAAAGCAATTATCGTCATCAAGGAAAGCCCCATTTTGCTGAAAGAAAATTCTAATTTGTTCCAAATCTTCATATTTCATAATACACCAAATAGCGTGAGTCCTACCATTGTCTGAATAGACCATCAAATTATGGCCCAACGCTCCACAAACATCCTTATGAGCTGGAGTGAACGTTTCACTATTTCCAACATAGATCATAAGTGTGATTGACTAAATATTCTTGTTGGTGTTCGCTAGAATATCTTTAGGACCTTTGTATTTCAGTTTGTCTGGAAATTTAGGGTTGTCAAATAAGTAACTCCTCCATTGTTTAGGGCAAGTCATATCTTTTCCGTAAAGTAGTTTTCTGTTTGGTGCTGTAATATCATTATCTTTCTGTATTAAAGTAATATATTGTTTCATGGTCATTTCAAAATCTTTGAAAGTGGTGTTGTCTCTTGGGAATACTTTAAAGTCTCCAACACAATCTCTTAAATAATTGAGGTGAAATAATTCTGCTTGTTTTTTCTTCATTTGTTCTAAATTACTGGATGTCACAGGTATGTTAGTCATTTCCATATGGCCCTTGGCTAATAATTCGAGAGAATTTGTGAGCACTATTGGCTGTCCTAGTTTATAGAGATAAAAATCTATTATTTCTTCATTTGCTTCAGAAAGGTCGATAGTTGTAACTGGTTTGAAATTTGTTTCGTTTTTCATGTCAAGCCATTGTTTAATGCTTCGAGCTTTCTCTGCCGCTGTTGTGGTTGTTTCGTCGAAATTAAAATCTAAATTCGCTTTTTGAACTCCTTTTCCACACATTCCGACTGGTTCTTCTGATGAAGAGGAGGCATGGCACGAGTCAGAGCTCGTGCGCTCCTGCACTTCAGAGGATGATGAAGATGTTGTCTGTCCCTTTTTAGAATTGTTTGCAGAAGTAACACTCACATCATCCTCACCATCATTATCAATATCGATTACTTCTTTGCCTCTTTTTACGGACGTCTTTAGAGATCTTCTATAGGAATAATAAGATTTATAACACGATTCACAAGTAGTTCCGATGGTTGCTCTCTCTGCAAACTGCGGCAAAGCTTCTTGATACAAACCAAGCTTTTTCTCATTCACAATAAAATTTCGTTTAAACACTGTTTCCTTGCTGTTCTTTCTACAAATACAGCAGCAGAGAGAGGACGAAGCTGATGAAGAGTCGGACGACATGATGAAGGCGTGCTTTTGCTCTTCTGATTGGGCTTATTTTTTGATGATGAAAACATTGAAAAAAAAATGCTCAATGATCATCAAGAGGAAATTGCTCATGCCAACAGCAACAACAACGAATCGGAAGAGAGCGTTTCATTGGAAGGAGTAAAATCAAGAGCATCTCAGAGAATTCTCAATGTGAATGTGGGAATTTTAGGACATGTGGATTCAGGAAAGGTGAGTGGTGGAATTTGTTTTGATTTTTGTCATGTTGATCTGCATGGTCCGAACGATCAAATTGATTTTGGAACATCACTTTTTAGACAAGGTAAATATTATTTTGTTTTAAAATGACAAGAAAAAGATCCGAATTCATTTTTAATTATGGAATATTTACTACTTGATTTTTCCATTATTTGATAAATTTAAAGTCTCTGTAAGGCTTTGTCTACAATGGCATCTACAGCTGCATTTGACAAAAATCCGCAATCACAAGAGAGAGGTATCACCCTGGACTTGGGATTTTCTGCTTTTTATTCTGACTCACAATTACCGAACTATGACAAAATTCAATTTACTCTCGTAGATTGTCCTGGACATGCAAGTCTAATTCGAACAATTATTGGTGGAGCTCAAATAATCGACTTTATGGTTTTGGTAATTGATGCAATTAAAGGAGTACAGACGCAAACGGCAGAGGTATGTGTTTGGAACCGAGGGTATTTTCTGTTTCTAATGAATTTTATTAATTACAATTATCGCAAAATCAAAATAGTGCATAGTGATTGGTGAAATTACATGCGATAATTTAATAGTGGCTTTGAATAAGATTGACATGATTCCAGTGGATCAACGAGAGGAAAGAATTGACAAGGTATGATTACTTTCAATGAGCTATATTGTTAACTCACAATACTGTGGTACTCTAAAAACTAGATCAAAAAAAGTCTTGTTAAAAATGTATTCTCGCAAACCAAGTTCAAAAATCCTCCTATTATTCCTGTTTGTGCAGACCCTAGAGAAGAGAGTGACAAAAAAATCAAGCAAGAATGTTTGGATCATCTTGTTAAGGAATTTCACAAATTTGTCAAAGTTACTGAGAAGAATGAAAATGAACCATTCTTATTTATGGTTGATCATTGTTTCTCAATCAAGGGTAAAGGAACTATTTTGACAGGAACAGTACTACAGGGATGTGTGACCATTGGAAAGGTATGTTCGAAATAGTATTTGTCCTATAGGCAAGATTTTTTGTTGATGCCATTCATTCTTGTTTGCCTTAATTATTCTCACAATAAGAATATTCACATTCCTTCTCTTGGTGAGGAAAAAAAGGTGAAGTCCATACAAATGTTTAAGACACCTGTAGATAAGGCCATTAAGGGAGATCGAATTGGTATCGCCGTAACCAAACTGGATAGCAAGAAATTAGAAAGGGGTTTTGTTTGTGACAAAGGATATATAGAAATCATTGATACAGTTTTGGCAACTGCATCAAGAATTAGATTTTTCAAAAAAGAAATCAAAGGTGGAGCTAAATATCACGGTGAGTATTTTTGATACAAAGAAGACTTAGTTGAACTTACACTTCATTTTCCTTCCAGTCTCGGTTGGACATGAAACGGTGATGGGAAATATCACTCTCATTTCTCGGTCAAAGAAAGAGGGATTGTCTAGTGAGGTTTTTGATCCAACTCTCGAATATACATTAGTAGAAGACTTTGAAGAAAACACTCATGTTGAACGCGATGTTTTTGTGAAAATAGAGTTTGAGCAACCTATTTGTTGTTATGCCAATGCTCATTATATTGCTTCTAAATTAGATACAGATATTCGTAAGTATTTACGCAAGAATAACTTCAGTTTCAAAGCACAAATCCTCAATATTTACAACATTGATTTCTTATTTTCACAGATGCCAACACATGTCGATTATCATTCAATGGAAGAATTTTACAAATGTGGAATAGAGACCAAGTTCCTAAAGCACAACTTGCTAAAATGCTTCCTGTCTTTAAGTATAAAGAAAAGAGAGGTGTCGTCGATCGTGTGGAGAATGCTAACACAATTATTGGAAAAAACATACTCAATTCGAAATCTCAATCCTTGCAACCATTTATTGGAAGAACAGTCGCAATCTTAGTGGACGATCAGCCAAGATTTTATGGAACTATTGATTCAAGCTTTGGTCAAAGTGGTAAATTCAGAGTTGTTTTCAAAGATCCTCTCCCCAAACAACCCAATCTAAGAAATAAGCCAATCCAATTCAGATACAAGGTGAACATTTATGACGAGACTAAGACATGGTATCAATAAATTGTTGATGTGTTTGAATCGTTCAATTATTTGGGTGTAATTATCACTATTTCTTTACACAAAGCACAATAACCTGTTAGTACTTCAAAGCTCTCGCTCCCTGCATTTTGTGTAAATCAAATGACATATATTTTATTATTTAAGGCACGCTTGGATACAAATTCGTAAAACTCCAAGAACCACAGCTAGACAAAAGCAACACACTGGTACCACTACACTGCGTACCTTGGCCATATTGACCAAGTATCAATGATTGGGTACGTTCACATCCAAGAAAGGTCGTGTAATTCTGGCCAACTATGGGGGCCATCAATTCTTGTAGTTGCGAGCCACCACTTGCCCAAACATACGATTTAGAAACTCGGAAGGCTGGGGATGAGCACGAAGATTCATCGCATAAATAGGTGACATTTGTTTTCACATCACCAAAATTCACCATTTCTATTTTGTTATAGGTTGGCGAGTTGACAATAATTTTCTTCAATCGATTCACCACCGTTGTTGCCGAATCTCCATTAAATTTCAATCGATACTTGACACTCAACTCAGATGAAAGCACTAAAATTGTATCCTTAATTGGATATTCAATCAATACCTCAATAGTTTGCAAATCCACATCTTGTCCAGTCACAAAATAAATGACCGCTGGCCTAGCATTCCAGTCATAGAGACCATTCCTAACATTTTCATTCAAATTATCCTTCAACGTTATAGAAGAAGGTGTATCATTTGGAAATTCACATCTCGCACAAAAATAGGCTGGATTCAATATTCCCAACATGGAGGTAGATCGTAAATAATAACCAGCCGTGGCTGCAACCAATGTAACCATAAAGGTCAGTACGATCAGAGTTGTTGCACTCGTAAAATTGGTCATACGAATGGTGGATAGGAAAGAAGAACAAAGTCCTGATCGGGAATGAATGCCCACCACCAATGACGTCGATGATGAAAACGATGAGGAAGATGAAAATGACATTTTTTTGGATGAGCTTTTTTCTGCCTCGAAAAGGGAGTTCAAGTTCATTCAGTTATCACACAACATAAAAGAAGAAACTGCAGGTTGCAATGTTCAGTCGATACAATCTGATACAGTGTAATCAGTGAAAGTTTTGAAAGGGTTTTAGGATTATAAGAAAATCTCTAATCAGGATGATGAACATGGAACTTGTTGTCAGTCTCTTTTTTTGGTTCCACACAGAATCATAAAAAAATATATCAAATTGTGTGAACATTCCAGGCATCGAACACACAGTGTGATGATGATGATGATGGATCCACTCGAAGTAGTAGAACCTCTTGTCATTGACAATGGCAGTGGTATGTCCAAGGCAGGTTTCGCTGGTGAAAACACTCCTCGTTCTGTCTTTCCTTCTCTCGTTGGAAGACCAAAACAACGATCCATCATGATCGGAATGGGCACCAAGGATGCCTATGTGGTGATGAAGCTTTGAGTAAGAAGGGTTTTCAAATGTTAAATTATCCCATCGAACATGGTATTGTGACGAATTGGGAGGATATGGAAAAGATTTGGCATCACACTTTTTACTATGAATTGAGAGTTGCTCCTGAAGATCAACCCATCTTGTTGACCGAATGTCCATTGAATCCAAAAGTCAAACGTGAAAAGATGACACAAATCATGTTTGAAACATTTTCAGTTCCAGCCATGTATGTGGCCATCCAAGCTGTCTTGTCCTTGTATGCTTCTGGTCGTACGACTGGTGTGGTTTTTGACAGTGGTGAAGGTGTCTCTCATTCGGTTCCAATCTATGAAGGCTATGCATTGCAACATGCTGTTTCAAGATTGGATTTGGCAGGTAGAGAGTTGACAGATGTTTTACAAAAAATTCTGATGGAACGTGGTTATTCCTTTCATACAAGTGCAGAGAGAGAAATTGTGAGAGACATTAAGGAAAAATTGTGTTATGTGGCATTGGATGTTGATGCAGAAATGAAGAAGACAACATCATCATCCATGAATGGAATGGATTCTTCTTCTGTAATGAGCATTGAAAAGCCTTATGAATTGCCAGATGGTACGATCATTTGCATTGGAAATGAGAGGTTTCGATGTCCTGATGCCTTATTTCAACCATGTTTCATTGGAATCGATAGTGCAGGTTTGCATGAAACTATTTTCAACTCGATTGGAAAATGTGATCTTGACATTCGAAAGGATTTATATGGACATGTGGTCCTGTCAGGTGGTTCGACCATGTTTCAAGGAATTGCTGAACGATTGAAACAAGAATTGACTCAATTGGCTCGTGTTTCGATGAGAATTCATGTTGTGGCTCCACCTGAAAGAAAGTATTTTGTTTGGATTGGTGGTTCCATTTTGGCCTCTTCTTCTTCCTTCCAATCCATGTGGATCACTAAGGAAGAATATCAGGAGGCTGGTCGAGGAATTGTTCATCGAAAGTGTTTCTAAGAATTTACATTATAATAGGATCGTATTATATATGGTGTGTTGACAATATGATGATCGTCACATGTGTTTTTTTTATATACATGTGTTTCTAATTGTGAATTGGACATACACCTGGAATCTATGCAACAATATATACACATGAAAAGTTTGCCACTTTGTGTGGTCTTTTTTGAAGTAACTTAAAGTAATTGAATGGCCATATATGAAAAAAAAATGAACCTTCCACAAATAGAAAGTAATTCTTCAAACCAAGAAAATACTTGCAGAAAGAAATTCCATATTCCATCAGAATGGATTAGGAATCCATTACTCATGGATTTGATCCAGCATCAATATACTGCTTCCAATAATTTCCAAGAAGATTCATTTCTGTGGATGGAGAAAACTCTGAAAGATATAGGTTATAAAGATGAAGAACATCTTAATAACAATACCATGATTATCTACACGACATGATACAAGATTTGCTACTTGAAAACAATGAAGTTTTTATGACCGAACAACTAATTGCTGAAACAGATTCCATCAAATCTCTACTTTACGGCACCACACCTGATTTTGTCATTAAGAAGGGAAATGGAAGGCAAAAAACTCTAATTATGGACATTCATGTTGGGGAAAAGGATTTTGCAAATGATTTGATCAAAGAAACATATAGAAAGCTCGAATTCTTTGCTGATTTCAAAATCATCACACCCTATAATTTCGGAAAAGAATTGAAGATGATTTCCCCCGAAACGATGTGGATGATCTTTACAGGAATTATCAAACTTTTTGGCAGAGTATTGTTATTGGAAGGCATGTATGAAATTCAAGAAGATTCTAGTTCATCACGAAAAAGAGAGCAATTATGAAATTGTAGCATTCAAAAAAACAAGAAATGAATTTGAGATTCAACAACAATATGCGCAAAGTTTAAAGAATTATGCTGCTTGTGTTTTGGCTCAAGATGAAATTTAATGAATGGTCCATGGACAACTCCAAACAACTCAGGTAAGTTTTCCTTTTGGTTTCATGACCTTGAAAGGAGCGTCCAGGTTCATATAACCATACCAAGAAGTAGAAATGGAAGCAAAAGATGATTGGATAAAACGTTCCATCATTTGAAAGAAAGAGAAGTTTGTTATTTGTGTGTGTTTATTGAGATTCAAGGAATTGCTAGGTCAACGACAATAATAATTACCATTGAGCCAAGGCATCAAAAGAAGTGTCGATTTGGTCTAACTCACCCAATTCTTCCATGACCATGCGCATGAATTCATCGGTCTTGGCATGAACTCTCACTTTGGACAGTGGTCAAATTTTGTTTTCTGCAAATTCACAATACACATCATGCCACCTTGATTGTCCAACGCCATGAGTGGCAATCGACAGGCAGGTTGGACCATCATGGAAGTACCCAACACGAGAGAAAAGTCACATTCTTGTGAATGTTTTAAAGCAGATTCCAATTCACCGGTTGGAAGTGATTCACCAAAGTGAATAATCGTGTCTTTCAAACTTCCTCCACATGCATCACAAAAACGTCCTGTCTTGTGTGTTTGATAAAATTTCACACTTTTCATGACATCGAACCCTCTCAAGTATTCCTTTCCACAATCGGAACAAACTTCTCGATAACAATTTCCATGGAGTTCGCTCATTTCTGAAGCACTCAAACCACTTCTTCGATGAAGTCCATCCACATTGGTCGAAACGACAAATTTTACCAAATTCTTCTTCACTAAATGTGTCAATGCATAGTGTGCGAATGTTGGCAATGCTTGCTCAATGTCGAGTGTTGCAATTTCATTACCTTTTCCAGCACTTTTTAAGGTCCAAACTCCCTTTGGTCCACGATAATCTGGAATTCGAGCCGATGTGGAAATTCCAGCCCCTGTGTAAACCACACAATGTTTGGAGTTGCGAATGAGAGCTGCCACTTGTCTTGCATTCTCTCGAATAGTGTCTTCATCATCAAAGTATTCAGTCACATCATCCTGAAGTCCAGTGATGGCACCAATGTTATTGCAAGGTTGTTCCTGTGTGTGACTACCTCGACCAAAATCAATGGGTTGATTGCCGACCACGTCTTTGAGAGTCTTCTCCACAGTTTCGGAAGGTTTCAATTGAGCATCCTTATTAAAGTGTTGAATTTGATCCAAAAAACTGCTGCTACTTGAAGAAGTTTGACTTGCTTTTTGTTTCAACTTTTGTGAAACATCGCGTGCTTTCTTATTGGCTTCTTCCTTCTTTTTTCGTGTCGATTCATCTTGCATTAATTGCTCATGAAGAAACTTTTCCATTCTCTTGTCGAATTCTTGTTGAATTATGTCTTTGAATTGTTTCTCTTTTAAGGTTGAAATGTAACCTCCACCTTCTCTCAATACCATTTCAGTGCACAATGATAGAGACTTCTTTTTGGAGTGTAAAAAATCGAATCGAGATTTGAATTGAATGGCACTTCGATTATGCTCCAATAAATCCTCTTGCACTGTTCCAAATTCAATATTTTGTGAAAGTAATACTTGTTCTCCTGTCTTGATGGTGAGTGTGACATTTTGACAGCCAATATTTGACACAATTTGAATATGATTACAAAAATTGGTCAAGGTTTCAGCAAAGGCACGATCATCATCTACATTTTGATCCTCTGATAAATGAAATTCAATCTCACAGTCCTTCAAAGAATCAATTTGAATCATCTTGACCTTATTGGCACATTCTTTTGAAAGAATCATCTTGACATGTTCACAATTCATCATTTCCACAAATCCAGTGGTAATTGCACCCAATTTCAAATGGACCTTACATTGCTTATTACTTTCTACAATGACTTTCATACATCGAGGAGCTTGGAGGGCAATTTCACTACTCTCAGATTTGCAAACATACACCAAATCGTTGACTCCAATGTTGGAAACAACTTGAAGACTGTTTTGATGAGAGACAAAGCATTGAGTTCTCTTTCCGAAAGGAGAAGGGAGCAAGTTCATTCTTGTGGGTTTTTTTTTGAAGTATTTCGTTGTTTTGAGTCTGAATGCAGAGATGGATACTTTTTAAAGGAACAATTGAGTTCCGAGTTCATTGACTTCAAACTGAGTGGCCTGATTGAAAGATAGTAAGTGCTTAATGATGAACAAACAATGACATACTTGCTTGAGCAATCATTGTTCACCAGTGAGGTGAACGTGCTGAAAAGAGTGTCTTTGAAATTAGATTTTTTGAATGATTTTTTACATCTTTAGAAGTAGTATATAGGCTCATCTTTTGAACTAAAGTCGTTTTGGTTAACATTTTGTAGGCAGAAAAGATGAAAACCAAGGTCCATAATACATTTGTGGCTACTTTTGAAACCATTCAAGGAGATTTCTTTCCGCACTTTTTGAATGCATAGGTGAAGAGAAAGATCCATCGATGAGTGTTGTCTTTCGCTCAAGCTCATCCTATTAAAAAGAGACATTCTTCTCGGAGCTGAACCAACTCTGGCGGAGAGGAAAAACAAAAAAATTGAGACTTTGAAAGATTTTTTTCATCATCACTCCGACGAGCTCATCATCATCAGCGTTATTAAAATCAAAATTATCTAAATCATCATTATTGAAAACACGACATGTCTCAAGAACAACAACCATTGGCAGCTTCGTACCACAAATCGGACGTTCCATACTATAACAAAGTACAGGATGTTCCGTATGTCATCAATAGTGAAGAAGGAGCCTTTGAAGAAAATCCAGAACCTGAATTTCATGACCCTGTGGCGGATAAGAGGTCTGTCTTGATGTTTGCCATTGGATTCATTGTTCCGATACTGCATGTGGTGGGATTGATTATGTATGGACGATCCAAGAGTAAGAAGGCTAAGAAATTTGCAGTGTTGAGCGGCTACATGATGATATTTACATTTACTTTTTGGGTTTTATTAATTCAATGGGTTATTATTCCAGTGGTTGCCATGTCCCAAAAGAAGACTAATTAGAGAGTCGCTTGTAAAATTTGTGATTTTGAAATACTGTTGTTGAAAATATAATGATCATTCAATATTTAATATTTCATATGGATTGAACAATCATGATGGAAGGAATAGTCACTATTTGTTCTCTCTCAGAACAATGATCTCATTCCACCTCTCCTAATGACGAGAATTTTCATTCCCTTATTTATTATTTCCATTTCATTTGTATAAATTCTAAAATCATTCATTACACCTTTTCCTATATTTTAACACAAAGTGTTTTTTCCTTACCTAATAATTATTATTCAAACTGTTTGAAACATCAATGACTTATTGAATTTGTGGTTGGCCTAAATAATCAAAGAACAAAATTTGCGCCAAAACAATTTGTTGTTAAACATTTTATTTGAAGAAAACAAAATGAGCACAACAGAAGCTACTGCCGCACTCAAGAAAGTTCCAGTCACCTTGCTCACTGGTATTTCGGATGAAAGCAAATCCTTGATCTGTAAGAAAGTTGCAGAGAATAAGGATGGCATGAAGATTGTTCTTTTTGTGAATGATTTACAAAAATGTATGTTATATTGAATGATATCAACACAAGAATAATAATATCATTATTCATAATGTCATCATCAAATTCAACATCATCACCCTTGCCATCCTATGTTTCAAAATATTTTGAAATTAATCAATCTTGTTTTGACTATTAATATTATTCATATCAACAATATATTCATCTTTTGATACGTGAATCATCATTACTTGCAATTCAACACATACAAATTCAAATTTAAACCTCTTCATCATGTATTGTCTTTATCTCACACAGTCAAATTTGAATCCTCTCAAATCGAAAAACAACAAGAGGATCTCATTGCTCTCAAGAATGGTAGCTTGCTCGTTCAATCTTCAGATCTCTATTTGGAACAATTGAGTTCATTCGTCGTGGACAAGAAATTCGATGCCTGTCTCTTTGAAGTCGACAAAATGGAACCTCTCGATCTCACCATTCAAGCATTTGCTACAGTCATTTCGGAAGAGGAAGAACATGAACACGATGAAAATTGTAATCATGATGAAGAAGATGGTGTCCGAATGAATGACATGGCTCCTCTCGATAACATTGTTGCAGTGGTAGATGCTGAGACTTTTATGAAAGACCTCGAATCAGAAGAAACTTTTACTGAAAGATATGGAGAAGATGCAGTTCCAGAGGGAATAGCAAACGAACAAATCTCTTTCCAATTGGTCGAACAAATTGAGGAAGCCAAAATTGTGATTATTAATAATCTTGATAAGGTAGAAGATAAAAAGACAGTGGAAGCTTTGATTAAAAAGTTGAATCCTCTCGCTAAGGTAATGACCAATGTTGCAGATGACAAAACAAAGGAACTTTTCAATACTGGTTTGTATTCATTGGAGAATGCTGAGAATGATACTCCAGTGTGGATGAAGCAAATTGATGGTGATGTGAAATCTGAGACTATTGAAGGAATTTCAAGCTTTGTCTATAAGAGAAGACGTCCTTTCAATACTGAAAAGTTGGACAAGTTCGTTCATGGTTCTGATTATTTAAATAAGGATTCTGGTATTATTCGATCAAAGGTAAGTCATTTGTTTGAGAAATGGACTTTTTGATTCTAACGTTTTGCTTTCTCTTTTAATATTCTTCGATTATAATTATTATGGTTTTATAATGACTGCCACCCTGCAATGAATCCTTTCATGATGACAATATTCAAAAATAGGGAATTTTCTGGCTCTGCACAAGAAACAACGAAACTGGTGACTGGAATCATGTGAAGAACCTTATTGAATTTTCTTCAGCTGGTCCATTCGTTTCTAGTCTTGAAGAAGAAGAACTTGCTTTATTCTCCCCTGAAGTTATTGAAAAGTTGAAATCAAAGATTGAAGGTGAACACGGAGATCGTCGAACTGAAATTTTATTTATTGGTAAATCCATGAACCAAAAGGAAATTGAGGAAAAGTTGGATAGTTGTCTCATTACTCCAGAAGAACTCGCCAAAGGTGTTGAATATTATGCCACCATGTGTGAGGATTCCTTACCTGAATGGCCAGTAGTTGATCTTATGGATGAAATGTTCGAAATGGAAGAGGATGAAGAAGACGAAGAAGATGAAGAGAACGAAGAAGAAATTGATATCACCACTACTCCAAAGAGAAAGAGAAACACTGACCAAAGTGGCGGTAGCTCTAAGAAGAGTAAGAAATAAATCATTGATCATCATCATTCATGCATGGTTGTATTCACAAGTGTACCCTTCTGTGGTCACTCTTGTTTGAATAAAATTCATGATTAAGGAAAAAACCCATCAATGGAAATGCCACACGATTGAGAAGGTGACGCTTTTCTGTTTCTCAGTAAGGATCACTCGACAACAACACCATCAGAAACAACAACTCATCACTCGCAGTGCATTTTCCAATCTCAACAACAAATTAATCGAACAGCCACAACTCTCGTTTTTGAGTTTCTAACTTCCAATTCTTCTTCTTAACTATCATCATCATTCAATTGTCACCTTACCATTGCTCGTTATTAGAACAACCACAACCACAACAACCATTGGTGTCACCTCACAAGCAAGGAACAATGTCTTCTTCTCACAACAACCACCACACCAAGTCGGGTTCTCGTTCTCTCGATATTCATTCCTTCTTCAGAAGACATTCCATTCATCATCCACCGCCACCGCCACCGCCACCACAACATTCACCAGAGCATTCCCAACCATCCACTCACCCCAAAGACAACAACAACAACATGAATAATCATTCCTCATTGTCATCGGGAGCTTCACCATCCTTCTCACCACTATTGAATCCAACCACTACTTCACCTCCAAGAAAACAAAGAGCTAGTGTTCAACATGATCCTCGATTTCGAATGTATACATCACCACCCTCACCACCATCAACCAAGAGTCCTCCTTATCAACCTCCAAATAAGGAATTATCTCCAACCAACACTTCACCTCATCATTTCTTACCTCAATGGCTCAAGAAATTGACCACTCATCATCATCATCACCCTCATTCGAATGCACATTCCCATCACGAGACGAGTGATCATCCTTCGACACCTCTTCCCTCACCATCACATCTCTGTGAAAAGGATTCTTCTGAAGTTCAAACAAGCACCCGTATTTCTTCTTCTTCTGTACATTCTCATTCGTATCCACCCACTCCATACTATTGTCCTCAACACCATCAGCAAATGCAGTTCTCTGCACTCAATTCTCCAACCAACTTGTTTCCACCTTCATCTCCGAGACCTCCTTATTCACCAGGTGTGAGAAGTAACTATCACCATCATCATGATTCTCACGCTGCTGCTACTACGTCCTCTAGTAACAACAACAACCACCACGACCACGACCACCACCACAATAGTATGTTTGCGTTTCGGGCCAATCTAACCTCTCATCGAAATCCAGCCTCCATCATTGAAATGTATCATGAGGAGGATTTACATCCGTATCCACTCACTCCCACGAATATCAAGCATCCACCGTTCGATGTGCTGCAGTTCCATCATGAAAAGATTTCATCTTCCTTATTTCGCCCGAGTGCTCCTCATGAGGATGAAAATTCTCTCAATGCCCTTCATGATTCTCATCATCATCATGGCATGGAGGAGATTATGATGAACTCTCCCACTACCTCTCATCCACTGTCGTATCCGTTCAATACCAATCCTGATTCTCCCAACCAAACGCTTCGTAGAATTCTCACTCGTTTTCAGCACTTGTTCAAGTCGAATAACAACAACCACAGTCAGCAGTCTCATCACTCAACCTCCCATAGTAATAAAGAACAAGATGGAATTGGATCCCAACACTTGCAAGGGGAGGTTCATGCTCAACATCCTCACATGAAACATCTTCCAAAACTTGAGGTTCATTTCCCTCAAAATGAATCCCAAGAGTCTCAACATCCACAACAACAGCAGCCTCCTCCTTATTCTCATCCTCAAACTCATCATGAGGATCGTTCAGCTTTGAAACCAAGCACTGGTGCTGACTGTGGACAAGTCATGCATCCTGAACATGATCGACAGAATGTTTCATCACCGAAAACACCAACTTCCTTGGTACCTTCGTTGTTACATCCCAATCTTTCGCCCTTATCATATCATCAGCCAGTGCCGAAATCAAATCAAGTCTCTTCGCAACATCCTCAACCACAAGAACCATCCACACAGAAAGCACAGGGTCCTACACATCAACATGATTCTCACAAACATGCACTATTGGAATCATTGGATACCTCTCAAGGGGTGGTGGCACACTCTCATCAAGAGGATGGAGCAAACATTTCTCTCTCAGAACCAACCACTGTGCATCATCATCAGAATTTACTCTCCACCATGTCCCCACTGAGCCCACGGATCCATCAGCCACCTCATCATCATCATGTAATGGACTATTTCGATTCAGAGCCTTATCCCAAACCAACAGAAGCTCAACTCCATCATCCTCTACATGGTCTTCATAAATATCGACGACCTCATCATGCACACACACGCACCTCTCCCCATCATCATCACCATGATGATGACCCAAACAAATTCAATACATTGCCCAATCCAAATCATGAAGAAGCAAAAGGGAACATCCTGCGAGAAAAGGCTCTTGTAGAAGAAAGCGCCAAAGCTCTCCAACATCCAAAAAAATATTCGGCATATCATCCTCACCATCATCACTCTGAGGAGAGTCCAACCATCATCATTCCCACCACGGACATTATTGTGTGTACACAATCATCATCGTTGCCAACAACGGAAACAACACAAGAGAATACAAAAGCAACCAATAGTACTGCGCAGAAAAGTGAACAGCAACCAACCAGCAGCACTACACAAACATTTTTTCAAAGAACGTCATCCGAAAATCTCGCTCCGGTTACTGTGAGTTGGAATATACAACAACAAGGTCCATCATCGATCGAAAAAAGTAACAATAAGAGCACATCACAAAACAACAACATGAATATACCAAAAAAGACCAGTCAAGATGATTTCTATATGGAGGATTCAAGTCTTCCTGAATCCAATGTCCATTCAATCACACACAAACCTTCGCGTTCCACGCATATCATGAGCGATGAAGATGGAGTTATCATTAGTTCATCTCCAACAAGTAAACCCCGAGTAACAACTGGACAAATTCAAGAGGAAATTTTGGATCCAATTTTCGACTTCTTCAAAACAAACACAAATTATGATTTAATGCCCTATTCTGGAAAAGTTATTGTATTCGACATTGATCTACCTGTTAGAGAGGCATTTCAAGTAGCTGCTAATAACGGTATGTTTCATCGTAACCTGTTCTACCTAGGATAACACCAACCTACCGTTCAAAAATGTACACCATGAAAATTATATCACCACATTCAATTCTATATATTACTAACCACGATGATAAATAGATATATCTTTTGCATCACTATGGGACAGTGAAAAGAGTTGTCTTGTCGGAATGTTAACTGTGACAGATTTGATTGATATTTTACTGTTGTTCCACAATCAAATGGACGTCATTCAAGATTTAGTCACACACAAAACAATTAGAGAATGGAGAGCCATGCAAAAACGTACAAGACCAGACAAACTTATTTATGTAACACCAGAAGATACTCTTCTTACTTCAATTCACACTCTTAGCAAGTATTCCATTCACCGTCTTCCAGTTTTGTCACCAAAGGGAGCCTTACTTCACATTATTACTCACTCTCATCTTCTTGCATATCTAGTTCAAAATGTAAGTTTTACCAATTTCAATTTTTTCTCACTCCAATCATCCACTTGTTTCCTGCCGAATACAAATAGTTGAAATTTGAGTCACCTATTTTCCAATACAGTCTGGAAGATTTAGGAATTGGTACCTATGTGAATGTTGTAACAGCAAAAATGGAAATGCAACTTTTTGCAGCTGTTTGTCTTTTTGCCAAGTATAAAGTCTCTGCCATTCCTGTTGTAAATGATGAAGGATGCGTAGTGGATGTGTTTTCAAGATACGACATTGTTTACTTTGTTAGAGATGGAGACTATAGACTTGAAATGACTCTGGGAGAGGCTCTCAAGACGAGACCAAGAATTCCAGTTTTTACTTGTACAAAATCAGAATCTTTCGAGAAGGTATTAAGGCACTTGTCCACAACACGTATTCACAGATTGGTGTGTGTTGACGAGTACTCACGAGTGGTTGGTATTGTTTCCATTAGTGACATTTTCTCTTTCCTCATGAAAAAACAAGAGGAAATTCTATCTAGGGAACATGACTTGGATCTTTTGCACCATGGAGTAGATATGGTTGATGAGAAGTAAAGGATTTGGATCTAATAAACAACCACATTGTGTAAATTTATCAACTACAAATTATTGATGCACAAGTTAGTATCATTTAATTCACTTTGGGAGCTCCTTCATTCACTTCTTAAAATTTGTCACGCCCAAAGGAAAGGGCTTCATTCATCCATTCACTCAATACATGAAGGGCACACAAACTGATAAATGTTATGAATAAAACAAGAATCATCAAGTACTTTTTGTGGTAAAGTCTTGAAAACACATTTCCATTGTAATCTTGGATGAGCGATAGGTTTTCTTCCTCAGAAACTCCAACCCTTCGGGATCTTCTTCTCTTAATTCTATCATTAACAGAGGAGCGAATACCATCTCCTTGTTGCATCTCTTCCAATTGTTTATCGAATGTTGAAAAGCTCTGATTATCTGGCAGCAATTTCATGTTCATATATTGAATGTCCTTTGGAGACAATCGATACAAGGACCATCTTAACATCATTCTTTTCAGGAATGCCATTGAAAAACATAAGAATAGCATCAATACAGAGAAAATTTGATAAATAAGTCCTTCCCAAAAGAGTGTTGTGTACGCAAAATCAACTTCTGGATAAAAATGTTTGGTCACAAACAATGCAATGATTCCGCCAAAGAGTGTGATCACAAAATCAATGCTTCGGAGCACTAAAGGCGTCCTTGTCGAATAAAAATGATAAATTATACCAATTGCAAGAGAAGTCAACATTTGTCCAACGCTACTTTCGCCGGCTAAAATTGCAGTACATGGCAAAATAATAAGAGCTGGAAGCCCAACAAACACAGAGTATCTCTCCAAAACATGCATGATCAAGACAATTCCCATTAGAACTTCCTCATTTGGCATGCACCAGCCAAGGCTATTTCCAAGAATGAAAGTGGTTCCTGCTGTCACGTTCGAAGGACTAAATGGTTCCTGCATTACTGAGAAAAATCCATTCACGCTTTGTGAGTCAATGTCACCGCCTTGGTGCAAATTTCCATAGCCCACAAATCGGCATGAACAAGGGCATGGTTGACGAATGGCTAACAAAAGTACCATGTTAAATGATTGCACAATTGCAAGCCTGAAGAAGAGAGCCAATGTTTGCAAGACGTAGTATGCAAAATTACTGCCCAACTCTTCAGTGTAATGATCTTCATCGTATACACTCAGAAGGAAAGGAAGTAAAAAGCACAATGCAAATAAAAATGGATTCACAAAACGGAACATATCAAACCATTGCAATACATATTGTGAGAGCCTATAAAGTGCTTGCTTTGTGTTTGATGGAATGTAGGTGCTTGTTGGATCACTATGGGGTGTGGTACAAATATTGTAAATAATATTTTCAGTCATATTTCGTCACATAATTGTAAATTTTTGAATATTTAAATATTCCAGATCGAAATTATTGAATCTCATTGAAATTCACAAAACCTACAAATGGCAGCCATTCATAAACCACAAAAATCCGTTCTTTGGATCACCATCTTTTGGATATTGATTATCGGGTCCCAGTAAAGGATTTGTGGCACATTGTAGAGTCAAGTAAGTATTATTATAATTTGATGCATTATTTGAATCCTTTAAAGCATTCAACCCATCCAATAATGAAAAGGCTTGTTCTCTCTTTAATGATATCATTCCTGATCCCGATGATGATAATAATTCATTCATTTTCTGAGATACCTTTGCCTCTACTGATTCAAAATGATTGCTCGACATCACCATCATGAACAACATAAAACCTAAAGAATAAATCAAACATGAAATCAGAAAACTTCGCAGAGATGATGACAAATGGTTCCTCCTCATTCTTCCCTTGCACACAAAAGATGGAAGGCTTATTCGAGAGAACATTTTTTTTCCAAAAGATTTTTTGGAGTGCTGGACGAGTCGATCACACAATCAATAGAATTAATCTTTTCATGAAATTCAATATATTGTTATGAATATTCATTCAAATCATCCTTTGAATCACAACATACGATCACCTTTGGAAAGATCAAACAACTTTCCAACAGAAAAAAATGTCGGAACAACAACAACAACAGGTGAGATCTCACTCCACAACAACCACAAGGCCAACAACAACAACAACCATGTTGTCTGAATCCCAAATCACTTCCGACGCGTCGTCAGTTGTTGTTGTGCGTTCGGACGAAAAAACTCACAAGAAAATCTATTGTCAAAAATGTGCGCACGAAATGCAACAAGTTCAAGAGGAAGGACTCTCTAGCAACAAGAACAACAACAATAGGACGAAAATTTCACGAATGAAATGCTTGTCTTGTGGTTTTATTCTCTATAATAATCCAGTGCCTGTGGTGGCAGCGATTGTGGAATGGAAAGATCATGAACATTTGGTGTTGATTCAGAATAAGACTTGGCCTAGTCATTGGTAGGTGTTAAAAAATTGGTTTTGGGAATGTGTGGTATTTAGGAGTGAAATGTATTTGATGGTGGTGATTACATGAACGTTGTGATGTAATTGTGTGTGATTTGTCCATTCAACTCAGGTATGGATTGGTTTCTGGATTTGTTGAATGCAAGGAGGATCCTCTCGATGCTGTCAAAAGAGAGGTACAAGAAGAGTTAGGATTGCAACAAGTCATTGTAACTCCACAAGATTTAATTGGAGTTTATAATTTTGCATTCAAGAACGAGATTATTATTGTGTATCATGTTCAAGTGTGTGAAGATTCAAATGAGGAAATCCGTATTGATACCAACGAATTGAGTGATTATCAAATGGTGAGAATTGACAAGGTTCGACCTTGGAAAGCTGGAACTGGTTATGGATTACGTGATTGGCTTTTGAAAAAAGGATTTACAGAAAATGCAAACAGCTTTATTGATCCATTTCAAAAGAAGGAGAGTGTGGTGGATACACCAAGTAAGCTTTAATGATATTGAGGCGTGACAATTTTGAAATAGAGCAACATATGATAAACAAGCAAGTTTACTGTTTTATGAAATTTAATGAATGGACGAACATAATAATATATTATTGATGATGTGTGGATTGACCCAAATCTTCAACAACAAGAGGAATTGTTTGAGGTGGTGGCGTTTCTTTGGTATGATTACTTGTGTGGGATGGGTGGCCGTGATGCTTTTCGTTCAATAGGTAGCTTTTTACAACTCCCTTACCTTTGAAATTTCAAAATATCATAATGATGAGATTTGAAAAGATGACTTACCTTTCAATTCCACCTCCCTTTCTTCGAATTGATATCCCAGGTTATACACTCGAGCGTAGGTAGATCTTGACACCTTTTATAATGCCATTGACACTTGTTGTTGAATAATTTAACAAGCATTACATTAAAACTTACCTGAATTCTTCCGGCAAGAGAGGTAGATTCCATTCTGGAAGCGACGTTGATTGTATCTCCCCATAAATCATAAGCAAACTAATAACAATAATGTTCTCATTAATTCATGATAGGAAAGAAACACTAAACTTACTTTCTTGGTTCCAATAACTCCTGCATGACGCCGAACAGCGAATAATTTGAATATTAAGTCAATTTTAACGTCACGAACAGCAGAGTCAAAAATTTCATACATGGATGTTCCCAGTATTTCTATGATTTTGATACCAAACATTGATAGCCCAGCGTTGTTGAATAATTCTATTTCTCCACTTTCTTTTGACAAAATGGTGCCTTCTACACTTGAATTGAAAATTAATTTTAGGTCATACATTGAATCACCGTCTTTGGACTTCTTTGTGGCAAGTTTATCATTCTTTGAGAGGGAAATGGTATGATTAAGAATATAATTCTTTAAATTGTCATTTCTGTCAAGGATTTCAACTGGAATATAATTTATCATCATTCTCAAAGAATGGATTTGGTTCCAAACATTGAATGAAATGACATTGGCACAGCAAGCGCAAATACATGTTCCACAAATTCCCAGAATTGAAAATATTGTCACAAGTGTTGAAGAGGGTTGACTCGGACTCTTAACAAATTCGTTGATGAAAGTCACAAATTTTGTAGTTAAAGGCAGAGACATTCGAAAACTGTTATTCAGCTGCATCTGTGTAGGAACAACGTCCAGTAAGGTTCCATTTTTGGAAGCAGCAGCCTGCAAAATGTATTGCTTTCGAGCATCTGTACTAGGGGAGCTGCAGATAAAAAACCAGTTAACACTCGCTCAAGGCCTTGACAATACAGAAGATTACTTGCATAGGTAAGAGCAATATTATTTTTCTGAAGATAAGCTGTGCAATTTCCGTCAAATCCAATGGTAATTAGTTTGTCAACAGAAGGATACATTCCAATTAAGGGAAGTGTGTTTTGAGATAAGTCTCCATATATTAACTTGGAAAAAGACTCGCTCACCATACGACTCTTATTGATTACATTGTCGAATAGAAAATCTAAATTGTCTTTGCCTTTGTACAGCCTGAGATCGCCAAAAGAGACTCTTCTTTTAAACGATGGAGATAGCATTGAATTTGGTTTTGATATTTCTGAAGCAGCATAATAAGTGACAATTTCTCCAACCTCGAACTCAACACTTTGAACTCCAGTTGCTGTAATAATTGTCTGTCTCACGTTGGCTAACACCATCGATGACATTTGAGCATTCAAATAACTCTCTACAAACATAAGAGCAACACAAGTAAATGCAATAAATAATAATAATAATATGGTGGATGGAAGTGCTACATTCGGCTTCAATTTGTTTAAAGAAAAAGATTTCACTTGACGAACAACTTCATAGTCTGTCCTTTTGCTTAAGGAATGATAAATCTTTCCAACCGTGTCTTTTTGCAAAAACTTTTCCAACAATCTGATCAGTCTTCTAATGAAAAATATTTCAGACCTCACATAGAGCAATAATATTACGCTTAGTACAAAGAAAATACCCAAGGAAACCGATATAAAGATTAAGAATTGAGTGAATGAGCGTGAGATTATCGAAACAGATCTATTTAAATACTTCTCGCAAAATGATTCATATGCATTAGTGAAACCATATATGTTTTGCTATAGAAACATGTAATTATAGTTTTGTAATGGATTCAAATACACATTGTTTGATAATTGATTCAATAACACTTGTTTTTCTTCAAAAGTATGATTTCCAGTCTCGATATCCATTAATAAATTGTAAGGATATTGACCAAGTAATTTTTCAGAATATTTGATAATCATGTTGGTTATCTCAACTATTGACGACAACCTTTGAGAATTCTCTCCATTGTAGAACAGATTTGTATCATTTGAGTCTTCATTTGGAATTAATAAAGGATAATTATTTGAAGAGTAATCAGAATAGATGGCAGGATCAAACACATCTTGTTGACCGACTTGCAACAAGGTTTTCAGCAGATTCAAATCATTTTCAAACCTGTTCTTGTGATCGTTAATGTAAAATTTTTTTGTGACGCTAGGAAATCCATCAATCGTTGGAGGCCTATCATGTCCTAGGATCAGTAATGTATTGATATTGATGAAGTGACAACTTACCAAGAGAATTCGAATATATAAAACGCATTGATCCAATTCTGAGCTGCTCGAACATTCCTAATAATTGAAAGAGGAATTGTGCTTGGAAAACACACTTGTTGCAAATAGGGAACATTGACCTTCACACTGCGAGAATAATATACACTCAAACCTATTGAAGCACAAATAACACAAAATGCAACAATAAAATATGAGGTTAGTAAAAATGTGGCCCATTTGTGAGACTTTGGAGAAGCTATTGCCATTCGCATCATACTTTCTTTTTTAGATTGAGCATCTTCAAAAGCATCTCCTGCCAAATCCATGAACGTAGTTTCCTCCTTATTATCTAATGCAGTGTCATGTAGATCATCCTCATAATTGCTACCTCCGTCAAGAATCGTATATTTAGTTAATACATTCGTAGTGATTGAGGGTACTACCTTATTTCCTCGTTTAAGATTGAAGATGTTGACTGGGCTGGAAAATTTTCGTTTCTTCTTCATTTCTTCTTCTTCAATATTATTGGCCTCTGCATATAATGTCTGAGCCATTTCCTTATTAAACTCAAAAATTTCAATATAGCTCGCATATAATCTTAGAATGGTCTTATTGTTTGAATAGTTGAAATATAGATTGGTTAACGAGTTTTTGCAATCAGTCATAAGAGAATAAATATTCCTATTAATTTTTTCGATATTTTCGTAATTCACATGCTCTGAAGCTAATTCTTTCCAAAAATCTCGATGTAAAGACAATAAACTGGCCTGATTTTTGTTGATAGTGTCAATTTGAGAGGTGATTTCAAACAACCCGTTAGTGGTCTGTGACATGGTTTCAATTTGTTTTACCTTTTCCTGTATGATAATGCGTTGCAGAAAAGACGGGTGCTGTTTTGTGGCTCTTTTTAATAAATTTTGCGAAAATATTCCACAATTTGGATCTCCTTGCCACTTCAAAGCACTTTTAGCGAATATTCAAGTGTGAAGAAAAAGCAACTGTGTTTCATATGACACTTACCAATGCTAGAACCATAAATCAACATGTAAATATCGCAAAATGATTTTTGGTTTGAAATTCCCTTAATGAATGCTATCGCAATTTCAGAATCCACAATATCCTTATGCAAAGTACTGCTAGAACCTTGTTTGAGACAAAGTTTGAAAAATAATCTTAAAGCTGAAATCATTTTACCTTCTTCTATTTCAGCATAAATAGAAGATGCAGATTTTTCTATTCCAACAATCAAACTTTTTTCATATACACACATTTCAAAGGTCAACATTTTGTCTCGTATTCTTGATGTTTGTAATCTTATATAGGATTCCATTACCACACATCCACACGTAAAACATATCACAACAAGTCCCAAAGTCAATATAGAAAACCCATAGCCAAAATCAATGGAAGAAGTGGCTGTGGAAGTTAAATTTGAACACGAGCAAACTAAAGCTCCTACACTAGCTCCTAATTTTGAGAGGGCAAAACCAAAATATAACGTATTATCCAAGCGTCTCAGGAAAGGTATATAGTAAAACATAACTAAACACATTCCAATATTAAGTAACACCTGTATGATCGCAGAAGCGTATAAATAGTGTTGAGGAATGATGTGAGAAAGGACCATTTGGATTATACAACACATTCCCATTAAGGTAGTAACTAGAGAGCTTTCGGCCATTAATGGCATTTTGCTGAAGGGAGATGAATGAGTAATAGCAAATTCAGCTATTGGATATACAATAATTAGAGACAATATTCCAATAATCGCCACGACAATCATTACAATGTTTTGAGTTTCTAAACATGCCACACCATTGTAACGTCGTAACGCATTCATTTGAATGCTGCCACCTCCAACTGTTGAAATATTGACAGTCTTTGAAAGATCGCAATTAAAAAATCCAACAAATAAATGAACCATGAGCAAGGAAAATGTTCTCAAGACATAGCTGATACGTCGAATAAAGACCTTCAACCATTTGAAATATTTGCTTGGCTTGACTGTGTTTCTAAAAGCAAAAACTAGCAATCCAATGTAAATCCATATGAGTAACAGGAACACACAGCTTAAAGCAACCACACCCCAATAAGGTATCATTTGAAATAAAAGCGTCGTTGGAAAGTTCACTACAATTTGAAATATATATGTTCCATATTCTCCCCAACCAAAATCAGCAATGGTATCCACGAATAACTGTGTCCATATCAGGTAGATATTGAGAACTAATGGCAAAAAATAGGTCCTCCATGATCTCTTGGGAGAACAGTCGATTAAGGAAACAATCATGGTAACAAACAAATCCAAAGTTTGAGCAGTAAAGGAATCATTGGTACTTGAAGAGCTGTTGGTGGCGCTTAAGGCACTATCAGAGCCTGTAATGGAGTACGATCCATGATGATGATGATAATTGGAGGCAGAAGGCAATGATTGTTGCTGTTGTTGTTGGTGTTTCCTTGATTGTTGTTAGTACTAGTAGCGGTCGTTGTATTGCCTGCTGGAAGATTTTCCACCGGAGAAAGGGACACATCCGAAAGCCTGTGATTGAGGCCAACCAAAGAGGCACCATTAAGGAGGCTCCTTTCGCTCATTTTGTTGGAACCAGAAGAACGAACAATATACTTAACTACCTTTTCTGGACCTTAATTGTGGCGCCGTCGGAACTATACAACATTTTTTCTTTCCAACAGGACAACGAACGGTATACGCTCAACCATTAAAATATGTGCAATCATAGCAAATATTCATTCTTGACTTGATCGATCATTGGAGCGTTTAATTTGTGATCAATCTCATTTAACTTCTCCACTTCACATACAAATACACTCCAACCTTAACGAAAATAGTGAACATTATGACACTGGCAAAGCTCACACAAACAATCGCTCCAGTTACCATTCCCGAATATAGCTCGCTATATGGTTCTCTGAGGGACACATTATTTTCATCCTTATCAGTGAAACAATCGACATTTCGTCTCCCAGACATGACTGAGTAGTAGGAAGTCAAATATGAATTTTGTGTCACACGTGTGATGGTATCTGTGCTAGAAGAAGAGCATGCGATGCCTCTTCCCTTCAAAGAGTCATTCAACAAAGCAGCAGTGCCCAATCGTGGAAAGGTCACTTGATAATAGCAATAGGTACGGTAGGAGTATTTCGACTTGGAGGTATAGCAGTCATCGACAAAATCCACTGAACAACAGTTTCTATGCACGTAGATGAGTGCATTTGGATCGCGCTCCATCAATGGATCCGAGTTCACAACTCCCCAAAGTGCTCCAGTGATAGCAAACAAAGCAAGACCAAGGATGAAAAAGAAAACTCCAGCAACAACTGTGAAAAGTCGATACTTTTCCATGCGACCCATATCTGACCAACTGAAACAGTCTGGCATGCTAAAACAATCACAATGAATTCTTGGACATGTCAAGTGAATGGAATTTTGTCTTCTCAATGACCTGCGAGGGGACTCGGGTTTTGCACCAACATGTTGAGTAGTGGCGATGGTCGCCGCATTGACGTTATGAGGAGGAGTGTCGATATCGACATGAACTTGTTCTTCGCTCCGAATAGCGTGGTGAAGTGGTTCACTTTTTGGTTCATCATCATTCCTCTTGAGGTCGACCATCGTTGTGGGCTGAACATGTGTAGTTGTCATATTAGCAGCGGTAGTGGTTGTTGTTGTTGTGGATGGAGGCTTTTGAACTAGCTCATAGCTATTGGTTGTTGTGGAGGGATAGGTAGGATATGGCATATTGTAATTCATCATGTCGGATGAAGGTGGATAGTAAACGCCTGCTCCTGATGAAGTTGGGTAGGGTAATAATTGTGGTTGCTGAGGAGGAGGATACATGCCATAGCCAAAAGTGTTGTTGTTGTTAAGACCATCACCGCCACCACCATAGGGAATATAGGTCATTCCAGCACTATTGTAGGGATTATTCGTTGAGTGACTTGAGTCCATCATACCATCAGTACTGCCAGTAGTACCGCCAGGATAGTAATTGTAATTATTGCTGTTGTTGTTATCGGATGATGAATTGTTCATGGTAGGATGAAATATTTTTGTGAACACACAAAAATAACGTTTTTTCTTTGGAAATTCTGGACTGAAGATTTGACACGATGGAAAATACTCAAGCGGACTGCCCTTCCGCAAAATAGGTCGCTTGGATCACCCTCAAAAGTTCACACTGACTTCAAAGTGGTATTTCACACTTCCAAGTTTTCAATAAAACGCAAAGTCTTCAACTATTTCACTTCCTTTCCACTGCTGCTCTTGCTCTTGTGTGTCAAATGTATCTTGTAAATTTGGGATCTATTTTCAGAGGTCAAGTCGTGGAAGAAGGTGGGATCTCTCTTGAGGATTTCGTCATAATTCTTGGCAAGCATGAAAATACAATAGTCCTTTAGATATTTGTCATGGAGTGATTCACTCAGGTGAAGAACTTGAAGTGCTGTATGTTCGTCCAATTCTTGTTCCTTAATGATGGAACGTGCCTTGTCGTGCAAGTCCATAATTTCAAATTGATGAGACGTGAGATAGACCTCGACACAATTACTTGCATCAATATCATTCAGTGTGAATGAATAAATATACTTGAGTACAATGAAAATGCTCTGGATGCTGACATGTTCAAATATTACGACACCATGTTGTGCTTCCATAAAACTCGAGTTGAATAGAGTTTCAAGATAGGGGGATCTTATTTTCAGAATTCCCTTGTGAGCGAGAATGCTCTTATATTTTGGTGGATCATGTGAAAAATCTGGTGCAACAAATTTGGCCAAGCATGCTGGAGGACATGCGGAAGCGTTGATGGATAACGATTCTCGGTAGCTCTCAATGTCATCAATGTTGGGTTCCTCCTCTTGAATTTTCAAAAATTCCTGAGATACCTGATCGACATATTTCTTCAAATGATTACTCTTAAAGACCTCATAGGGGACATGGCTAGAGTCACTAAGAGCTGATACCAACAAAGGTATTTTCAACTGAATGGCAAGTTGATAAATGTCAGCAAAAACATTTTTCTTGCCAGAAAGATTTCTCGCATCCAAAAATCCCGAGTACAGGTATTGCAGCACACTCATGAAGGCTGTGCGAGTATGTTTGACTTTGGGAAAGTAGGTAATTCTAATGGTGACTGGATCGCCATGATTAAGCTTATACTTTTGAACAAAGTCGTCATCAATGTTGTCTTCTGTGAGTTGATATTTTTTCATTTCTGCCACAACGATCATTCGTTTCAAAACTTGAGACCTCTCAACCATTATCTTGTGTGCATAAATAATATTCGAGTGTTCATCTGCCGTCAAGGAGTTGTTTTCTTCTTCTTCTCCCAGCGGAAGCGTGAAAATTACATCTGAATCTTCAGCATGTTGCTCTTGGAACCACTGAAAATAGGCTCTTCCTAATTCAGCCATTGGATTTTCATTCAAATTGACTCCTCTATTCATTCGAAAAGCTTTCACCGTATGTTCAGTCGTCATGGTCATTGTTTTTGATGACTTGTTATTCCATTGCTTGACTGTGTCTTTGGCAGAATTGAATGCGGTTGATTTCGTGCCTCCAAGTACAATATAGGAATCCATCAGGGTTGACACAGAATTATATGCAACTCCATCAAAGTTTTCTTCAGTCCACACCGTCCAAGAAGACTTGGATTCATTAAATTCAAAAATTGCAGAATTCCACTTGGTTCCATCCCATCCTCCCTGCAAGCTTAATGAATCTTTTTTGAATGGTATTGACAGAAGGGAAGCCATAGCGAGAGGAGGAACAGACAAGGAGCAATAATTGGTTTCAATTTTTGTGAACGTTGATGATATCACGTTGAATTGATACAAATCATTAAAAATTGTTGAATTGTCATATCCACCATAGATGTACAAGTGATGGTCATTCAAAAGGGTCATCGCTGAGCCTGCCCTTGGTGATATTTGTGAGAGGGGCGATCGACACAACACTTGGAGGGTATTTTCATGGACATGATAGGCATAAAGCGTGTTTGAAAAGTCTTGTTTCCCAACTCCACCAAATATATAAATCGTGTCAATATTGTCGGATGCAGAAGCATGATCAGCAATGGGAGGTAATTTGTTTGTTTCAGGGATGACTTCTCTCCAGTTCAAATCAGAAATGCTTGCAATTTGAATGTCACTTTGCAGTGTGTTATTTGTATCGAATCCTCCAATAAGAACCAATTTTTGAGAGACGTAATTGAAACTGGCAAACAATCTCGGATTAGCTGGCTTGGATTGTTTTTGTTTTGAGAAGACGAGCTTCTTGTTGATGTCCATTTCCACAAGGGCCAAATCATTGCTTAAAGCGCCCTTATAAATTCCTCCCCAAACAAAAAACTTTCCATCGCCATTGTTGGCAGTCTTGTGTAAAATTCTATTGAACAGTTGCTTATTGTCAACCAATTCCTTGACAAAATTCGATAGAATTGTGAGTTGGTCAAACCACAAGAGTGGGGTATTTCGATGAACGAAGGTAAATTTTCGAGCATGATACTCGAAATTAATGGAAGAAGAATCAGTATTGGGCGAGGTCCCAAAGGAGGATGTTGGAGATGAAACAGGTGTTGTTGTCTGCAGGAGCGCATCATTAATCATGGAAAGTGATTCACCATTTGACGTCACATGCAAAAATTTTGAAGGGGACGGTGGAAGGGCAATTTTCAAAGATTTTCTGCGATTCTCAATGACTGCTTCCAACTCAGCATCAAAATTTGTAATTTCACTCGACTTGGTGGCCAAATAATCCTCAATGTCTTGAATGAGGGAGAAGAGAACGACTTGACCTCTTGCTTGATTGGCATTTTTCTAGAAAAATGCAGTGTCACAATAGCATGTGACATTTCGTCATTATTGAAATCCAAGTCATACATGATGAATGTCAGTATAGTATCACCACCACACCTACCTTGAGCAAGTCTGATAATTCTTGAATTTCACGTAATTGAATTTCTTCTGCAATTCTTCTCTTCTCTTTAAACTCTTCATGTTCAGGTTCCATTTCAGGTGGACAATAAATAACAATTTCCTTGTCCAAGGGTTCGATCGAAATTTGTGGTGTGTCATGTGATGGATACATGATCGAACATGCCACATTGAAAATTATTCCGGTTTGAAACAAGTGATACATGTGATCGTGTTCTCTCTTTTCTATCATCCCGCGTTCAATCAAGGATTTAATTTTCAATTGATATTGAAGGCTTATCGGCGGTGGCGGGTGCTGAGAATGTTCCTCCATCGATGATGATGACTCTTGAATTTCATCCTCGGAAAATTCTTGTACATTTTGAACATCTTCGGAATAGATGGATTGTAAGACTTGTAATTCTTCGAGTTGATCGTGCAAATTAGAGTTCATGGGTTGTTGGGTTATTTGTGTGTTCTGTATTTTTTTTGTAAAAAGTTTTACACTGAGACTCTTTCATCAAACGATAAACTCAATACTTGAAGTTCATGTTGGGACTTGAAGAGGTTCAAATTTGAACGTGCACCTTTTTGCGATGGTTATGAAAGTAATTAATTACTTTATTGATCTTCTTGTCCATTTCCTCAAAGTCGACGGTTCTCAAATGAATATTCTCAGAATTTAAAACGATCGATTCCTTTGTTATGATGAAGTGCAAGGTAAACTCAAGAATGAGATCTTTTTGAAGGGTATTTAGAAATAATTGCTTTACACTTGAATTTTCTTCAAATGATTTAAGGAACACCTCACATTAGTTGAAGAAACGATTGCTTTGTTTAAGGAAGAAAACATAGGTTGTTCTTCTTTGGACCAATACAAAGACATCCACTACTTGATTCTGGGAGAATAGATTTTTGCGAACAACCCTCTCGCAACGAACAACGAACTGCAGCAGGGCCTTGTATTTTTTCCGGGTGTGTCAAAACGAGCCAACTTTTCAACAACAGGTGACTAAGACCCTTGATCAACGTCCACCTGTTGAACAAGCGCCAAATCAACACTCCTTAATCGATGCACTTGTCGAAACACCATCATTTTCCAATGAAGGTGAGACAGGTTCCTTCGAGACAAGTAGTGTGGTGGCTTTAATGGAGAACTATGGCAACATTGAGCAATGTGAAAATGATGAATTATCATTATTTGAAGATGATGAATTGAAACAACTCTTATTTGATGAACAAGAGGATTGGAACAAAGAGCTATTTTCATCTGATCCTGAAACAACAGAGGAAACGGAAGAAGAAGATGCATCTTGTATCACTCACCATGCACAAAATCAATCATCATTTCTCGATTAGAAGATGATTTGTTTTTATCCATGTTTTTTTTTCAATTCCAACTATATCTAATTCAATAAAACCCCTGTAAAACAATTTGTGAACATCTTGATGGGTGTTCACTTTATTTTGTCATGAATAATTAATTGTGACCACGATAATGACACAACTGAATGAATTTTCTTACTTTAAGGGACTTGATAACGTTTGGCGTTACTTCAATATTTGGTTAGTGTTGATCTGTTGTGATATAAAATAACCCACAAAAAGTAAAAAACATAACAATAACCACGAACTGATTCTTCGAGGGTCTTGTAATGAATTGGCGGAGGAAATGATGACGGACTTTGTTGAGGTTACATTTGTTTGGATTGTGACATCGAACGGGGTAGAAATTGTTGTCCCGTTTAAAGTTGACTGAGGAGTAATTTTGACATACTGGAATACTTGTTCTCCAACCAGAACAGAAAAAGTAAATGCGTTGACGTCATAGCGTGAACAGCGATAACTTAATGGAAGCATTGCGTTTGTTTTTCGCATCATTCGTTTGTTAACATTACTGATGAATCGGTCAAACACAAGAAGAATATTTTTTAACGTATCATGTTGTTTAACTGTAGCAACGATTGAAAATTCTGCCATGCTGTCCATTTCATTATTAACTTTGGAATCAGCTCGAACTAAAGCTGTCTCTGGTTGTTGAGCCATAATGGTCACACTCAAAGCAATCTCTTTAACTCCATATTTATAAGCATCTCGAGCAGATAATAAATAAACATTGACAGGGATTGCTTTTGGAGAATTATCGACGGTAATGGTTGATAAGTCTTGTTGTGTTTGTGGGAGTACTGAAGAATAAACATCATTGAAACGTGTTCCATGGTTGTTGTCACAGTTAATTCCATCACAAGGATCAACTTTACTGCTGCAACAAATCCAACCAAGAAAGAGGTGGTGGGGCAACAGCAATACGAGTAAGCAAGTGAAAACTAATAATCGAAAATGGTACATATTTTTTGGTTGTTTCAAGTCTGACGTTTGATTATCTCCGGTTTGTGTCAAGTTTAAAACTTTCCATTCGGTTAGTGAGGTTTACAAGACAAAAGAGGCATGATAGCATTTAAGGATATGAGAAAATTTTGATTTTTGATTAAAAACAGAAATTTTCGCATATTCAAGCAGATGTTTGACATCAATTTCACAGCCTTAATGCATTCCGATTCACAGAAACAAAGGTTTTAGTAATCCTTTTGACCTCTGTATGATTTGATTAACCTGTGAACCGTAAATGCGATTGTTCGGTACGTTTGATTGATTCCAAGTCGTATCGATCATTCATTACGATCTTGAAAATCGAATAATTTTTTACCATATCAATGCTCTGTCTCTCTTTGCATTGATTAGTGACCTCTCACCCACCCATTCTCAGGTACCTTTTTCGCTGATCGGAATGGTAAGGAAGAACATGGTGACAGATCCACCTTGATTCGACTTTTAGGTTAGAATTTTATTGAGATAACGAAATATTTTAATATCAATTACATAGATCTCGTATCGTCAATTTGAGTTCCGTTCAAACTATCAAAAGAGACCCCTGTGAAGCATTATTCTTGGGAGGTGACTGAAATTACACTTGTTCTGCAATGATGATCTCTTCAATAAGTTGCTCCTCCCTTGAACACACAATAAATTAGGAGGACAAACGGTTTAATCTAAGTGGTCAATGAAAGAGGTATGGACAGTCAAGGTGTGCCCTTTTTCTTATTCCCATCTTTTTCTCAATACCCAAAGCGGAATTATGCCATTATAGTCAGATTGAGATTTCATAAAACAAATATTTGACACCACAACAGTTTCATCTTGGAAAGACCATTCATTGAAGAAGAGTTCGATGTGGTTCGATCACTTCTCCAAACTGCAACAATCCAAACAACTTTAAATGAGATCATAACTGCCGCATGGGTCATTGAAATTTCACGTGACATCCATACTTTTTGTAAGCCCATATATTTGGAATGTAGGCAGCACTCGCGAAAATTGAGGCGTGTCAGACAGAGGCTGTTGTGTTTTTGATGTCAAGTGCTCTAAGGGTTGGAAGAAATATTGAGCTACATAAAATACAACATTGTTGGAATCATGCTCCTTCAATTTGGGATCGACATTTGGTGATGACAAGTTAGCAACAATTGTTGCAAGAGACACAAACAATACTCTCAAAATTCAATTCTGAAGGAAAACTTTCATTAGAAATGATACAAATGATAGTCCATACAAATTCTTGAATCATTTCGATAGTTGTGATTTGGACGAGGCCTCTCAAAAAAGCCCCAAATCAAGACTGAAAACAAAATATCTCTCAGAATTCAAACAGGTCGGTTCTGACGATTTATTTGATGCCAATCCACTGTGTTTATGCTTAACATGGGTCATAAGACTGGGATATTGTTGAAACTGTTGAACCAATCATTTAGGCAGTAAGATGGATTTTTACTATTGTTTGTTGTAAATATCAAAATTGGTTGAGCAAATTTTTGAACTTTTTCCAACATTTGCTGATCAATCGATGGAAGAAGAAGAGACTAAGGTCTGAATCCTAAAGATGAATGTGAATGGTTGATCTTCATCGTTGGTGAATACAAAGATTGAAGAGAATGACAGGTGGAAGACACGACATGGAGAGTCTTTTGGAACGATTTGAATTGGAGAGGGGAGAGGAAACGTCTTTGGAAAGAGATTTTGTGCTCAAAGTTCGAACCAAGGTATTTTCACTCTTGTGATTCGATATAATGATACAATTTCCAGGAGACAATGTCGTTTCAGCACTGAAGGTTGACACTTGTTGTTGGTTGTCCTCCCTGTGTTTCTGCTGTCTTGATGTTCTTGGAGTTTCCATTGAGAGTGGTGGTGAAGAACCAGATGTATTTTCAGCAGATAAGACAACGTGTTTCATCTCCATAGTCTCCTTGAGGAATGGAGTAAGAGGTCTTTCATCGAATTGAGATTTATGATGTGAAGATTGTTCTTCTGCTGACATGGAAGAAGAACATTCAGCAACAATGAATGGTCGTTTTTTGGTGATGGATTGAGAATTGGTCTTTGAGGTGTGTGTATTCATGAATGTTTTCCACCTTTCACCAACCACCATCAGTACTGGTGGTACCATGGTATCATTGGACTCGTGAGAGTTGTCAACTCCACAACCTTCTGGTTCGGATGGTTCATTCTCAAGAAACGTTGAAAGCAACTTCTTCTTCTGATAGGTGCCGTTTAAGACAGATTCAGCGGCACATGTTGTGTGGTGAAGCATGCTTGTCGATATTTGGAGCATGTGACCCAACGTAAGGATGAAACTTTTTTTAAGGGTCCACCGTCCTCATGATGAACCATTGTTTCATGAGGGTTCTTTTCGTTGTGTAATGATGCTGCTTCTGAAGAATGTTGGAGATCCTTGCATGTAAGAAGAAGATGTTCTGGATCGAGTATCTCCTTGTCTCTTGTTTCCAATTGTTTCGAGGGCAATGATTTTCTCGAGACACTTTTTGAATCGAGGTGGATCTTCACATGGTTGTGATTGGACAACAGGTTCCAAAGTGGATGGTCTGAGAGGACATCTTGCTCCATTCATCCAAGCAGCCTTGAAAACAGAGCTGAAATATGCAAAGTTCGATTGTCCCAAAAAAAAAGTACGTTTAAATGCCTTTATCTGTCACCTCGACATTCCTTCGTATGAACATAGAATGGGTATAAATGTTATTATAATTTGAATGTATATATCATCAAACATAGGGTCCCTTATCAATGAGGAAGTTGATTGGTTTGGTCAGGTGTAACCCTTCTGGTATCATTCAGAATACCCCTAGTTTCAAATATATACCCTTCAATAGTAGTAAGCATGCATAGCTCAGAGGAAGAGCTTCGGTCTCCTATTTAGGCCGATAACCGAGGGTCCCGGGTTCGATCCCCGGTGTGTGTAATTGAACTTTTTCGGTGTGACATTTCAACCCATTCGGAAATGAGTTTAATATTTTCTTTTGAATCTTCATGTTGGAGAGTTCGGCTAAGGTCCCTTGTTTTGATTAAATTTTTGGTTGAGATCAATGTTTGCTCCCTCATCACTTTTGAATGAACAGCATGGAGCAAAAAGTGACAACCCTAACACAAGACTTCCACTTTCTCCTCCGTCTGAAACCAATCATCCTTTTCACGATTGAGAAAGGCATTCTCAAACAATTTGGTGGCAAAAAAGGAACGAACAGTCTGTTTCTGCAATGAAAAGAGAGTATGATGAATACATGCTCCCACTGAAGCGAAAACATCATCCATCACCAAACCACACAGAGCACAATGTGGTTCTTCTTCAGTTCTTTCCATGACTTCAGAGAAACAGCAAAAGAGAGAAGTATTGGATTCTCATGTGTCGTTCTCCACATTTGACACATCCTTTCAAGGTGGTGGTGGTGTTGGTATTGTCAGTGGTGGTGGTGGTGTTACTGATAGTGTTTGTTTCGAAGACGTAAACAACAAGAATCGTTTGGTTAATTTAGAGGAACAAATGGGTTTGTAGTCTCTAAGATGTGAAGCGCAAGAAGCCACATTAAGCAATTGCTTGATAAATCCATGAAAATAAGATAACATGATGAATTAGATACATATGAAATTAAAATAATTAAATATATGGTTAGCTCAGTAAAATCCTTGTCGAAAAGATTCGATCAAGGTGGACCTGCACTGTCTCAATGTTCTTCCTTACCACAAGAACATTCCGATCAGCGAAAAAGGTACCTTAGAAGCTTAAGAAAGCAAGTGGGTGGGAGTGCGAATGGGTGGGAAGTCACTAAGCAAATCAAAACGCACGAATATGCAGAAAATTTTTTGAGCATGAAAATATTATTCGTTGCTCAACCAAACTCTTTTAATGTTGACATATGTAAGTACATTCATGCCCTTCACTTCGTTCAGAACATATCAACCAGTGTTACTATTACTGGTAGAAGAAGAGCCTTCTGAGATGGATGGCATTGTCTTTGAACGACAAACCACCACCTTGACACGAGCACTATTTCCACTTGTTGCCACCTTATCTGAGGAAACTTTGGAATTGATTCGATGCCTTTGAAGGATTATTGGTCATTGTCAACACTTGACGACCACTTCCTCTTCCTCCACGCATCCAATTCTCTGAAACCATTTCCAACTTGACCGTTGGATGACCTGGACGATGAGTGCCCTTGGCAACAATTTCCAGTCTCGATTTGGCACTGGAATTGTTGTGTTAGATGATACAATTTTGGCATCTCAATCGAACCAATCCATTGTCAATCAAGAGCTTTCCTTCACAAGAAAAGACATACTCCTTGCATTCACTGCATTTGGATTCGAGAGAGTATTGTAAACGCTTCTCCTTCGTCTTGGCATTGATTTGCTCTTTCACCTCCTTGGTTTGCTTGTAATAATTGACAGAATTGTTGACAAGGGTGCAAAATCTGTTTCGAATGGTCAGATCATTTATGCTGAATAAAGTCAATTGACAAAATATGCAGAAAATCCCACAAACACCGGACCTTTATTAAGGTCGGGTGTTTGGAGAGACCACAAACTCATTAGTCCTTCCTTTAATTAACAAACGAATTTTATTGTTTACTCTTTCGAAACATACTCCTTCCTTAGTTTTGGGAGGATCTTTGTTTATAAGGACAGTCTGGGAGAAATCTGTCACCATAAAAAGTTCCATTAAATCCCAAAGCGACTCCTCGTTTTGTGGTAGTGGAGGAGGAGGTAGTAGCATTAGAGTTAGCATTGGATGAGGCAACATTAGAGTCATCTTTAGAGGAAGAGATAACAGAAGAGGAGCTTCTAATGGAAGAAGAAGTGACAGTGAAGGAGCGACTAACAGCAGAGTTAACAATTTCGACATCAGAGGAAGATGGTTCATCGGAAGAAGAATCAACAATTTCAATGACGTGCTTGTGCTCATCATGACGTTGTTTCTTCTGCAAAGCATTGGATGCTTGAGAGATGACCTCAACTTGTTGCTGCTATTGGAAAGATTGCGACGACCTGAAGCAGCATAGAGAGATGGTGTTGAGTGAGTCATGAGAGAGCCTTGATTGAGGTTACCTCGAACTTGTTGTTGAGTGGAATGCTGTTCATTCATTGTTGATGATGATGATGAAGACAACAACCAAGAGTCACTGAGCTTAGTTTGAACATTCTTATTGGTGGGTTCCATGACCTGCTTGACCTTCTTGTTGTTGCTTGAGGAAGAAGAGGAGACTGTAGTATTTGATCTCTTTTTGGTTTTGGTAGCCATGTTGAAGGACAGTTGAAGTGATCCTTTTGTTGCACACCACTCATTTTCGGGAGTGTGATGTATTCTTGTTGTTATGGAATGACAGGATGACCAATGATGAAGGAAATTATGCAGAAATGAATGGAATGTCGCCGATAATGACGCTTTTTCATCAAAAAAGTCTTTCAGAAAACAAGGCTTTGGAAAACTTTTCAACGATACCGATCTGTGTGTGAAATGAACGCCAAAAGTCCGTCAAGAAGCGCACTTGTGCCATCTCATCGCCTCGTTCATCTCAATTTTTTTCCCCGAGGATGCCATGTACGAATTGAATGAATCGCGCTCTCATAAATGTCACCACTCACAAAAAACAAGAAAAAACAGCTCCAATCGAATAATTATTTAACGAGACAAAACTCGATTCTCAACTCCATTGATCTTTACTCAATATTATATTTGATTAGCACTATTTGAATCCTCCCATTAAAAATGGAATCCCTCCACACTTCCATCATTCCACACTCGAGTGGATGGACCTTTGCCATGATAACTCTCCCATTGCTTGTTCCATTACTCTTCCTCTCTCTATTGCTTCTCTTCATCCTTGAGAGGTATCTCACCTACAGAAAATTATGTCAAAAGTACTCTCATTTACCAGGATACACTCAATTCTGTCCTCCCGTTGTGGCCTCTTGGTTGCCTTCCTTTCTGTTGCCACATGGAACTCTTACCAATCCCACTGGATACTTTTTAATGGAAAAGATCAAACAAAGTATGAAAGAATTTAAAACTGATTATTATAAGGTGATTATTTTCACAACTCCCATGGTGGTGATTTCAAATCCAGAAATGGGAAAGGAAATTTCTTTGAAAGGAACGAAAATGTATCGAAAGAAACCTCATTCGAAAAGAAGTTTTATTGAATTGTTTAATGGAAGTAATGTGTTTGCTGAAGATGAGCATGCAGCTTGGGCTCATCAAAGACACTTGATTGAACCAGGATTTTCACCAGAGAGTTTGAAAATGGTGTCACACGTCACAAGTGAATGCATTCAACAAGAAATGATTCCACATTTGAATGCAAATTTGGAGAAGAGAGATGTCATGTCTGATTTTGCGAAACTCACCATGAATGTGATAGGAAGTGCTGGTTTTTCTTATAATTTTGATAGTTTTTGTATGACTGCTCAATCTCCAAAATTTGGAACAAAAAACAAACTTTTTCCTTCATTATATCGACACTTTGAGATTATTGCCCACTCGATTCTTGAGACAGCATTTGAAAGTGGGTCTCTTTGCAAAGTTGCATGATTCTGTGCAATCTTTCAGAAAGGTTATTTTAGATATTATTCAACATCGAGAACAACAAGACGAAAATGGTCAAGAAGAGGACGACAAGTCAGACATTCTTTCCTTGTTATTGAGAGAACGTAAAATTTCAGGAAAACAAGGAGGAGGCTCCTTGACCGATTCTGAATTGGTTTCTAATGCCTTCATCTTGTTAGTAGCTGGACACGAAACCACAGCAAGAACACTTGGATTTGCCTTGTACTTGTTATGTAAGAATCCTCATATTCAACAAGAATTGCATCACTTTGTGGATCGATTTTGTGAAGAGAATCAGAAAGAGACCTTTGACTATGAGGATTTCACATCAGGTCGTTTGGACTATTTGAAAGCTGTGTTTAAGGAAACCCTTCGATTGTATCCGGTCGCTATGGGTGTCATTCGTGAATGTGTGAAATCCTTCGAATGGAAGAAGCAGAACATTCCAAAAGGCTCATTGGTGTTTTATTCATGGATCATGTCCATGTCGAGTGAGGAGTATTGGGAAGAACCTGAACAATTTAAACCCATTCGATTCTTAAAGAAAGAAAACAATCATCACGATGAAAAGGATCCAACGAAGGGAACCGTTTATAATCCACAGAGTAATCCATTTGTTTATACACCTTTCGGTATTGGTGGAAGAATTTGTATTGGAAAACATTTTGCCGAAGTGGAAGGAATTATTGCATTGGCCTACCTTGCAAGAAATTACAGTTTCAAATTGTCAGATCCCAACTATCAATTAGAGGTCGATATGAGAGTCACTTTGAGACCGATGGAACCAATCTTGGTCGATTTCATCCCAAGAAGAAGATAAATCAAGAAGAAGGCAACTCAGGTGACGACCACCATGTTCTCCATGTGTGTTCATCTTCTTGTTACCATTGAACCACCTTCCAATAGGGTAAATAAAAAGAGCAAATCTCTCTCTCATTCATCACATCATCACCTTATCTCATTTACCTTACACTATTCATAGACCTTATCGAGGGCGAAACAACCTTTTGGAATATTTGAACGGCCCTTCCTGATTTCTAAAATTGTTCGAGAAATTCTATCAACAAAGAGCGTAGTTGATCAAAAAAAATTCGTTACTAAGGAATGGGATTTTCAGTGTCAGATCGTCTCGAGTTGGTGATTGAGAGTGCCTCGGACTTGGTGGCTGCTGATTTGAATGGTTATTCGGATCCGTTTGTAGATATCATGGTGGATAATTGTCTGGAAAGAAGAACTCAGGTAAGTGAGAGTGAATGAGAGAAATAATAACTCAGCAATGCTTGTGAATATATTCAATTCCGATGTATTCGGATGGTAACATGGATTGTGTTTGAACACCAATTCCGAAATAGATCATTAAAAAGACTCTCAATCCAGTTTGGAATGAAACATTTGTTTTTTATTGCATTCCTACTTCGGGGCCACTAATAGTGAATTTTGAAGTCTATGATTGGGATAGATTGACACCAAACGTGAGTACATGAAACGATCATGCAAATTTGGTTTATTCATTTGACAATGATGCTGTTCTTGAAACATATTCGAAACAATCACAGGATTTTATTGGACGAGCAATGCTTTCCATTGACTCTAATTGTACGGAATATAACAAATCCTATCCTGTAACCCTTACTTTGAAGGATACAAAGTCTGGAACTCTCAAGGTGAGCTACAAGATCAAATCAGCCTCGAACGCCACTCCCAGCTCTTCGTCCATTTCCACCAATGTTTGTGAAAATAACAACTTTAAATTCCTCACCACAGAATTTCCAGAGAGTTTTCAACCATGCGTTCCAAAAGGTTTCATTTTGGTGTCGTTAGAGTCCAACACTGCCAACAAGGTCTATGCAGTTCTTGTAAAAATATCGACAGGAGAAGTGTTGACCATTACGTACAATGATTTATTGTCGACATCCTTTGATTCAGCTGCTCAAGTGTTTTTGGATGTGTACTTGAAAGGCCTGAAAGATGGAGCGGCCAAGAAGGGAGGCCAATATGAATTAATCTCAAGAGACGTTGATGTCACGCACAAGATTAATGGAAACTTCTCTAAAGTACTCGAATGCAGGTGCTTAAGTGCAAGCTCATCCACTGGAAAGTTGTTGAACTGTGTGTGCTTGACGTGTGGTTATGCAAGTGGGGTCATGGCAAATTATGTGTGGATGACTTACGATTCTGAATTTTCTTCTGAAAAGTATCTTTTATTGGTGGAGCTTGCCAAGAGAACTCGTGTCGCGAAATAGCGTGCAAGACATAAAGCACATGGGTGGTGAAAAATAGCATACTCCAAATTCAGTTAATGACCATCAGAACAAGAATAAAAACAGTATCCTAGAATTCCACTCCCTTGTACAGAATTGAGCAACTCTATCCAATGTTACAAACTCCTTTCATTGATGTGAGCGTGTACTCTACAATCACATGTAAAACATATCCAATTTAATGGATTATGCATTTAATGCTAGTTGTTGAATAATTATTCAACTGAGGACTTATTGTGTTGCCAGGCAAACCCATTCAATGAACTTCACGAAAACTGCCACCAACAAAACCAGGGTGGAAGTGTTATTGAGTCGATGCAAATCTTATTTATTCACATCCAATCTAGATGTATATGCTAAATGTGACATATGCGACGAAGAACAAAAAATCCGTTCTATCAACAATATTGCAAAGTTGAATAAACCCATTCCTGAATTCAACGGGTTATGTGTGCTTAATTAACCGACTAAAGAATGTCTGTTTGGGTGTTTGAGGATGTTGAATAAGCGTTGTCGGAGTTGAGTTTGCTAGGCTGATTGGTAATATTTTCCCAAGCTGGTTGCAAATTTTGCAGTCTTGGGTTTAATAATATAATATTTCGTTAACCCAATCAGTCAAAGCTGGGAAAGGTAAATTAATTTGTTGTAATGATTTCTCTTGAATACTATTATTGGGATGAAAGAGGGAAGTCTGATTAAAGGGTCATTGAATTTGAAAGAACTATTGTCCCATTTGGAATATAATAATATAATTTGATTTCAGGACCACACATGTCACAAGAAATGAAAACATGGTCCAAATTGGCCTTGGAGTTGCATATGTGGCAATTTGGATAATCTTTACCAAAGTTTCTAAGAATTTCTGCTTCGTCTAAATGGGCAAATAATAGTCTTTGTTGGAAGGGTTTGAGTGAATAATTATTCCAAAAGGTGGTAGTACATGGATGCCAGATTCTATTAAGGTCTAAGGATTCAATGCCTGACATGGTGAAGGATGATCTATCATTATTAAGTAATTCAGTTCTAGGGTCAATTGGAACTTCATACTCATTTACAAATGAATATTGGTCGTCAATATATTTAAGGAACTCAAAAATCTGTACCACCAACGCGTTGTGGGTATTTTATACCGCTTTCACCCCTGTTGAAAAATAGTTTTCTTCTAAGATTCCATTACACACCGGAGAAAAACCATTTTGTCCTGTGCATTTCTCTCATAACGCGTTCTAAAAACTGTTATCTCAAGTTCTCACAAACCACGAAGAATGAGAAAGGATGTCTCCGACAGCGGAGTTACCTGTATTAGAAGGAAAATCGACTCGAACACTCTTTTCTGCGTGAATTATTGGCAATCCCAACTGAATAGTGCGTAAAGAAAAAGTCCATTCAACCAATGACTACTCAAGATATCAAGCTGACAAATGTCATCCCACCCACATCACCTACTTCAATAACACTTCAACATCCATCTTCTTTGTTTCCTCCTGCTGGCAGTCAATATTACTCTTCTCCAGTCAGCAGTGATACGAGTGAAACTCAGCACTTCCTTCAACCTGATAACCATTCCCATCAATTTCAGGAGGAGGAAGAAGAATCTTCTTCATGCTGCAAATTTCCTTTCCGCCAATTCTTGCTTACTTTCTTAAAATTTGTCTTTTCACTTTCTCTATTCCTGACAAGCTCTGCTCTCACTCGAATCGTCACCATGGAAGCGTTGGTTCCTTCAGTGGATCTTTCACAACCTCCTTTGAGAGATTTCATTCTGAATCGAGTGAAAACATTTCCTTTAGCGTTCAAAATCTCTGAATATATCATTACCTTTTTGTTTCTTCTTTTAATCGTGATTGCTTGCTTCAATAAGACGCACAGAATTTCAATTCTTTCTCGAACTTTGCTTCTTGACAGTGTGTTACTTCTCTTGAGATTAATTACTATGTCTTCGACGATATTAAGCATTCCTAACCATACAGATGTTCATAAATGTGAAGAATTACAACACATGACATTGAAAGAACGACTTTATGGATCCACAGGGAAAGAGGGCGAAAGTGCTCTCTCCTACACATGTGGAGATTACATGTTTTCTGGCCACACATGTAGCATTGTTTTATTTACGTGGATGATCCTTTATTACGCAATGCCAAGTGTTTCTTTTGAACATTCAAAACTCTCTTCGATTCACTCTCGAAGGATTTGGAAAATAATGAAAATCGTACTTGTTGCATTCATCACAAGTTGCTGTTTGATTGCCATGTTTTGCGTTATATGGTCGAAAGAACATTACACGTGTGACGTATTAGTGGCAGGTATGATTACCGTTTTGGTATGTCATGCTTATCATTGTCAATTGAATTTATGGTGTCTATTGAAAAGAGCGGATGGAGAGAAAGAAAATGAATCGATGCATGGGGTGGTTGTCTTGTTCTTTAAGATTTATGAATTTGATTCAAGTGAGCATTCAAGAGGAAATGAATTTGATTTAAAACCTTGGACTTTGATTATGAAAGTTTTTCGAAAAGTGACAAACCAACAACATTCCAACTGCTCCATGAACTGTTTTTCCACTCAACATCAACAATAACATCAATGTTGTTTTAATTATTTCAAGGATTTTTGTTATCCACTTCAAATTCACTTCCAAAATAAGCGCACTCTCAAAACAAAAAAATGCAACAATTCGAAGTCCCCACCACCACACCAGAACAAGAACTCGAAAGAAGAAAACAACTGGAAGCGGAGGTAACCAATTCACTGCCTTTTCATAAAGAGCTCGGAGAAGTTGTGGTGACTCTGAAGGGAATATATAAACACTATCACATAGCTGGAAGAACGGATACGGTTCGGGCTTTGGAAGAAATTAATTTGAACGATGAAGCTGAATTTTATGGAATTCGGAGAGGAGAGTTTGTGATGATTCGAGGACCATCGGGAGGTGGTAAGTGGATTCTTTTTGTGTTTTTTGGTTGGAGAACATTTTCAATTTTGAATGATCATGATTTGGAATGGGTCACTATTGTGTGATAACTAAATGAATTCATCATCCAACAAATCAACATTTCCATTTTTGAAAACATTTCACAAAGGTAAAACAACCTTGTTGAATATCATCGGAACTATTGATAAACCAAGTGGAGGAGTTTTGGAAATTCTCGGTGAACCAATTACAGCCAAATCAAGTGACAATTATTTGGCAGATTTGAGACTTCGTAGAATTGGATTTGTTTTTCAAACATTTAACCTTATTGCTACAATGAGTGCTTTTGAAAATGTAGAACTACCCATGACACTTTTAGGTAAACTAAATAAGAAGGAAAGAAGAAAGAGAGCAAAGGAGCTATTGAAAATGGTCGGATTAGCGGACCGAATGGCTCACTTGCCATCGGAATTGAGTGGTGGTGAGCAACAGCGTGTCACCATTGCTCGTGCTCTTGCTAACGAGCCAGAGATTTTACTTTTGGACGAACCAACGTAAGTGATCTCATGAAAAAGTCAAAGTCATTTTGTAACACTAATGATTTTGGAATTTTCTCTAATGCTTGTTGTTTTATGATTTGTTTCATATCTTAAAGTGGAGATTTGGATACAAAGAATACAGTTGAGGTCATGGATCTCTTATTGAGGATTAATTTAAATCGTAAAACAACCTGTATCATGGTGACACACAATCCCGATGTAGAGTGTTATGCTGACCGAGTGTTGTATGTCAGTGACGGGCGTTTTGTGGAACAAGCTCTCAACGAAATTCAAATACCTCTCATTTTTGAAAATTATTCCAATTATTTGAAAACGAAATAGATCCGATATGTACATTATCATCGACAAATGTATTTCTTTTGATATAAAATTCTTGATGTCTGTTTCATATGTTCAATCATGATCATTGTACACTGAACTCGTAAATATTTACAGGAATGAGTCATCAGCTAATGATTGTTGCAAATATCTCTCAAATTCTCTTGCATGAAGAATTTACAAATTTGTTGATGCAAATCCCTAGTTTCCGGTTTCGTCAAAAGAATATAATCCACTGCCTTAGCGATCATTTGTTTTAATTCTGGGTGAGCTCTCAAATACATTTCATTATCCATGCGTTGTTTTACTTTTTCTCGGGCGTTCAACACAGACGGCTGCTTGAGGGATTCCTTTCCTACGGAGGACGACGATTGAGGTTGTTCATGATGATTCATTTTTTTTCTAGTTTTTCATGCACTAATTTACAGTTGCCATATGGAGCTTGTCATTCCAAAGCACAACTCAAAACTTTTACTTGTTTGCATTTCCTCTTGTTCATTCATGATCAACAACGACCGATATATGAAACCAATGTCAGAAGAGATCCTTCTCATCCAAAACAATTTTTGCTCGAAACGAAATTGAAATTTTTATTTTGGATGTTCAAAAAAAATATTCAAGTCGCTCCGACTAACCGCTTTATCAAGTGAGACTCTTTTTCGACTTCAGTCCGGAAACATTTGAATCTTGAAAGATGGTACGTGAAAGAAAACAATGGTGATTTTAAAATTTATTATTTGGATGATGATGTTTTACCGTCTTCTGATGTCGTGTCGGTCTTCGGGATTATCATGATGGTGATGATGGAATTTTGTTGATATTGGTGCTACTACTCCGATAAACAATGTAACCGTTCGTGAATGTACCTGTGGTTGTTTTGAATGTTCATTATCTACGTATAATAACACACAATGTAATTCTTGTACAATATTTTCCAATTTATTGACACCAATGTAGCCACAAGGAAATTATATTGAAGAGCACCAAAAGAAACATGGTCACAGATTAGACTACTTTGAAACCAAACGAAAGAAAGAAGCTCGTCTTCATAAGAAGACGTCTAAAATGGCTGCCAAGTTAAGAGGTATCAAGGCCAAGTTGTTCTCACAACGAAGACATGCTGAAAAAGTTCAAATGCAAAAGACAATTCGAGAACACGAACAAAAGAATAAGGAAGAACGAACACCAACAGAAGATATTGTTCATGGAGGTGCTGTGCCTTCTTATTTGATGGATCGTGAAGGTGTCTCACATGCTAAAATTCTCTCAAATACAATCAAACAAAAGAGAAAAGAAAAGGCTGGTAAATGGGCCGTTCCAGTTCCAAAGGTTAGAGCTTTGAATGAAGATGAAATGTTTAAGATTGTTCGCAGCGGTGAACGAAAGAGACAAATGTATAAGAGAATGATCAATAAGGTCAGCTTTGTGGGAGAGGACTTTACGAGAAAACCACCAAAGTTTGAAAGATTTATCAGACCTATGGCTCTAAGATTTACAAAGGCCAACGTCACACATCCAGAATTGAAGGCAACTTTCCAATTACCAATTTTAGGAGTGAAAAAGAATCCACAATCATACATGTATACAACCTTGGGTGTTATTACTAAGGGTACTGTGATTGAAGTGAACGTTTCAGATCTTGGTCTCGTAGCACCAAACGGTAAAGTTGTGTGGGGTAAATACGCTCAAGTGACAAACAATCCTGAGAATGACGGATGCATTAATGCCGTATTGTTGGTGTAAAACAGTTTGAAGCATATGATGAGAGTGCTGAATGCATTATTATGTTGAGAGTGAAAATTTCTGCATTTTTTCTCCCGTGTAGCGATTCCACTCAGCAGAACAGATCTCGAAATATTTGTCAACTTCTCTCCGGTCCAGATTTTCTCGAACACTTGTTGAGGTTCATTAAACAGTTTTTAATTTCCTTCGAAATGTACAAAATTCAATAAGATTCATCGTGACAAAATCGATAAGACAAGATCCTCTCTAGAATACAATATTATACAAATCATTAATAGTTTGGCTCTTGAACAGCTTGTACTTGCTAGCGGTCCAGTCACCCAATCGATCCAACTTTTCCAAAGCAAAATCAATATCTTCTTTCGTGTGAGCAGCAGAGACACAAAATCTCACTCTCGAATTCAGAGTTTCCGTTGCTGGAGCTCCTACCACCACCACAGCAATACCCTCTTCGAGACACATTCGACTCAATGCAGCACATTTGGAAGGATTGTAAAGCATGGTAATAATCACAGGTGAGTCCACATCACTAATGACCTCAAATCCCAATTTCTTTAAGCCCTCCCTAAAGTAATTAGAAGTTTCATTGAGTTGTTGCAATTTTCTTCGTCCCAAATCCGTTCCATCCTCTCCCGTAATGACCTTGAGAGCAGACAATGCTTGTTGAGCACACGGAGTGGGAATACTACTTCCATACGTCAAACCATAGCAATTCTTCCTCAAATACGAAATGATTTCCTTACTGGCTGCCACATAACCACCCACGGAACCAAAACTCTTTGTAAAGGTTCCCATCAAAATGTCAACATCTTGTGGATTGACTCCACAATATTCACACGCACCTCGACCAGTCTTACCCAAAGCGCCAATACTGTGAGCTTCATCCACATACAAATAACATCCATACTTTTTCTTAATTTCTACTGCTCGTTTCAAGTTTGCAATTTCTCCTTCCATCGAATAAATTCCTTCCATGATAATAATAATCTTCTTCCAAGGTTTGTGACTCTTTGGTTGACCTTCCAAAATACTCTTTCTCACAATTCTCTCCAAATGCTCCATATCATTGTGTTTAAATACGACCAAACATGCCCTTGAAGAACTTCTCACTCCATTCACAATACTCATATGATTCAATTGATCACTAATAATGAGACACTCTGGAGAAGAAGCCAATAAGGGAATGGTGGTACTATTCGTTGCGAAACCCATCGAAAAGATGATGGCATCTTCGTGTCCAACGAAACGAGCAATCATGTGTTCCAATTCTTGATGGACTCGAGTGTAACCTCCGCAATCTCCGTATGGAGAACCTTGTGAAACTCCGAATTGATCCAAACTTGATAAAACTTGAGCTTCAACATGAGGAGGACTCTCTGCAAAACCCAAATAATTGTAACTGGCTAGATTGAGACATTTAAGAGTGCGACCAGTGAGTTCGAGAGTGGCATTGTAATTGTGAGAGATTCGTTCCATGACTGTGGGTTTGAATTCAATTGGTTTCAAATTGGTTTCAAGTTGGTTTCAAATTGGTTTGATGAAGAGTTTAATGACGGGTTTGATGACAATTTGAGTGTTTGAATTTGAGGTTGAATGATGATGATGGTTCGAGAGGTTCGAGTGTCAGAAGGATGGTCATCATCATAATGATTGTTGTTGTGATGATCATCATGGTGTATTTTTAATAATATTTAATATATTAATATTTGATGGAATGAACAGGATAGCATCAAAATGAGAGATGGTGTGGATGATGATGACAACATTGCAACATTTCGATGAAGTGATGGTTGTAGTTAGAGTAAACAATGAATTAGATCAAAACATATTTTTCCAAATTAGGAAATCATTGACATGAGCGTCATCATTGATCATTCCATAGCTGATGACTCACCTTCAATATAAGCACCAGGTCTTGATGCTATTGGTCGATTCCAACAATCACACACTCTTCTAAATATTCTTCTCGTATACAAATCTTCAAACGAACTCAACAATGGTGCGTGACCACGAGGTGTCTTGTGAACACTCCCATAAAACAATTCATGAAAAAAGTCACGTAAATGACCCAACAAGATCAGCACTGCGTAATTGAGGCATGTGGTGATGAACAACCAGTTGGAAATGTCGCAGTTGGTCATTGGGCGTGATGCTGTTTTTTTTCGTTGTTGTTGTTGTTATGGAAGAATATTTGGAGCACCACAACAACCACAACAACAACAACCACACGCCATAACGCCACCACGATTCACGTTCTAGTCGTAGTTGCTACGAAGGGAGTCAAGTCCCTCAAACCCACTCTTCGGAAGAAATGGTTGACCTCCTCAAAAGGGACTTGAAATGGAAGCCACAACAACAATGAATATTCATTTGACAGAACAGGAGCAACAAGAGAAAGATTCGACTCTCAGAAGAAGAAGCGGTGAGCGATTCGATCATCCTCCTCATGAGGAGGACTTGCTACAAGGAAGCGCTCATGACCAACACACTACTACGATCAACAACACACTTTCTCATGGAAGAATCAAAATGAGCAGGAGGAGAATTGAATGGGAGAAAGACTTTAGGGGAATTATTAGGAAGGAATTCCTCTCTTCTTCTTGAAGTGGATCCATAAATGATCTTTGATAACAATGTTAAAAACTCTCCATTGTGAGAGGAATGTAATCAAGATTATGAATCATCCAGTGGGAAAATGATCATGTTCAATTAAGGTGCTGTTCATTTCACAACTGTAATGGCAATAATTAGTTCAAGTTAAAGAGGTTATTAAAGAGAAGATATGGTGGCCATCAAGGTTGGTTCGATGACAAGCGCATTCGTGAAAGATTGCATGGTGGTTCTTTTCAAAATAAAAGATATCGTTTATATGAATTGGTTATTGAATCCTTGCGGTTGGTTAGAGATCCGTAAATGAATGGAGAGATTGTGTGTAAACTGTTTACGCCATTAACGCTGTACGTTTTTGGTCATGGTTGGATTTGTTGCGGCAGTTTGACAAATGACACATCTCGTTACGGAAACCGTGCTCAAAAAAAATTGACACCTGACAGATTTACCGCGCCCTAAAAAAAATACATCAAAAGCTCAATAGCAAGGTGTTTCAGTCTATCTCGCCTTTCAATCTGCACCTTCTTCTTGTTATCATTGATCGCGAGTATTTTCGTTCACCTTCAAAACCAAAAAAACAGCAATTCGCGATCTACTAATCCTGTCGGGTTGAATATCATCATGCCGAGCAATCATAGCTCTCTTTTATGGGACAAATGTTCCATGTATTTCACGCTCAAGAATTTATACAAATTACCAACCGCTGTCAGTAATCAACCAACAGAAACAACCAATGGCCAACATCCACCAACCACTCTAAAACAATCACCTCAACACAATCTCGATACATCAAAAAACAACAAAAACAATCGAAAATCACATCTCATTCAAGATTTTAACTTTCCAAAATCATTCCAGGAACAAGTCGTATTGACATCATCATCACCCGAAAAGCGAAAATCATGGTTCAAACGAGAAGGAGGAGGAAATTCAGAAAATTCTTCGCTGAGTGTGACAGTGAATGAAAGTGTTCACACTCCTTCTTCAAGCACTCATTCGAAATCACTCATTCATACAAGACAAACATTTAAGCCATCTTCGTCACCATTAAGACGAACAGAACCAGCAACAGAAATGGAGAATAAGAGACGATCGATTTTTGGAAAATTGTTTTGGAATAATGGATCTTCCTCATCGGAGTCATTATCGACGAGGAGAAGTGTTTCATCTCATGGATCGCTAAACATTTCTGCCAACTCGGTGACAAGTTCGATCTCAAAAACTTCAAAATCGAGTCGCCTTACCAATGAACCCTTATCGATAGAATCATCCAAAAAGACAAAATATACAAAAGCTAAACTCCTAATTCTGATATTTATTCGAGGGAGTTGGTGTGAAGAATGTGTGAATTATTTACAACAGCTTGACAAAATTGTATATGAAAAATTAACACAAGAATTTAGAGGAAATATTGCTGCTGTTGTTTCTCAAACACCACAACAAGCTAGTGATCTTAAAAAACAACTCAATCTAAGATTTGAAGTCGTGAGTGACGAAAAGATGATTCTAGCAGAAAAATATGGAATGAATTGCATTTTAAAAGGTTCTATTGTTTATAAAAAGATGGAAGCCATGTATAAATCTAGATACATGACAAAAACTGGAAGAAATATTTCAGATTACATGTTTGAAATTGTAGAGTTTATTGACAAAAAAAAGAAGAGTGGAACAAAGAAAAGCAACAGATTGGATCCATCAGAGAATAATCGATTATCAAAAAGTCGTTCATCTGGTAAGAAGCTTCGACAAGATAATAATGCTGTCATTTCTGATTTGAGTGATGTCACATTTGTGATCAGTGATGATGACAATGACGACGAAGAGAATATGACGAATAGAAGTGGCAATGGACGAAGAGTACAAAGTGCCAAACCTCAAACTCGAAACATTGAAATTGATGAACAAACAATTATTGAATTTTTTGAATCTAAATGGCGAGAATTATTTAATGAAGATAACAAATTCAACACTGGTTTCACACAACCAGGAGCAATTATTCTTAATCACAAAAAGAAGGAAATTTATTCATGGAAAGATGGTTATTCTCTCACTCAACAACAAGAACACATTCAACAGCTCATCATGCAACAAGAATTATTGAAACAACAAGAAGAGCAAAAGAAAAAGGAAATTGACAATTTCTTACTCGAATGGGATTTCAATCAATGGTTGACAGAAACTCCTCTCAATGTTTCAGCTTTTGATGGAAATGATCATTCCTCATCAGTACTGACAGCATCAAATGACAATCATGGACTCTCAGATGATCTTAAGAAGGCCTATCGAAAAACCATTTCCATTGCTTTTCATTCAAACTCGTCACCCAAGAAATCCTCACCCTCACCTCACATGAAACATCTTCAAAAAGTTTCAGAATCCTTTGCAGGAACATTTTCTCCAAAAACTTCACTCAGCAAATCCCCTCCGCCGACATCTCAAAGCCCACTTTCTCCCCAATCGAATAATAATCGAGATAGTCTTAGCATGAACGATGATATTCTGTCACAATTTACTTCTGGATCAATATTTGATAGTGTCAATGTTGCTCAGGCCTCCAAACAACTAGTGATCGAAGAAGGAAATGAACAAAAACTTTCAACTTCTCAATCTCGACTCTCGAAGCGAAGACCAAGCTCTGATCCACTCAAATCATTTGTGAAAGAAGAACTTGAGAAGCAAGAGAAGCAGTACAACATGAAACAGATACGAAAGAATGCAGGACATTTGAGTATTAATTTTTCTAGTACGAATGGAAGGAGTAGTAATTTACTGATCGATCGCTCATTCGTTAAGGAAAGAATTCCTCCCAAACATTTGCTCACCATTGCAGAGTACTATGCATCGCTCGAGTCAAATCAAAACTAATTGGTGACTAGAGTTCGAACACTGCGCAGTGTATTCTAAACATCACGGATCATTTGTGATGCAATTTTAAATGAAATGTTTGTTTGAAGGAAAGATCAGTTTCATTTGAAAACGCTGTCAAACAACTCCACGTGTCTTGTTGTGTTTGATCCAAAGAATGATTTGAATCAATGAACGCTATTGGCCCTGATCTTGATGATTGTCTGCTCCCCATCTCAGAGAAAATTGTTCGAATCTTCCGTAAATTGGAAATACAAAAGCCATTATTGTTTATTTAGAGCTGGAAAATTCTGGTTGGACGGAGACTATTTACAATGAGAAATGAAATAAATACGAGAAGGACATTCCGTGTTAAATTCCTGCTGCACCAAAAAAACAATAAACACACAATCATACACGTTAATCACTGTGATCACACTGTTGTGCTACTCATGTCTTCCGAATGACGAAGATATGTATCATCTTCGATTGTTTCGGATTAAGAGGCTTTTCAGACTCGGTGCACGACATGGAGCTTAGACAGAGCTCAACAAAGTTGTATGAAAGCTACTCGGCTCTTCTCATTCAAATACCAAGAACACACGCTATCGTCATGTTGTTGATAACAGCGAGTGTCAATTCGAATAACTTAGAACGAAGACATTTGACCTTGGTCGTGATTAGTTTCATTCTCACCAAAATCAAGACGAACATTCGGAAAACTATTTCTTCTCCGACTATTGGAGGACGGAGAAGTCTTACGATGCTTTCTTGGCTTTGTTATTCCTCTTGGTCCAAAGAGAATTGATTCAGATGGCAATGAATGAGCACAGGAATGATGTCTTGATGAGCCAAACAAATGATCATCGTAGAGATTTGAATTTGGCTTTTTTCGCTTGGGAGCACCAGGACACACCAATTCATCTCTCGGTCGTTGAGGAGTCGAGTAGACCCATTCGTGCTCTGGAACCACTCGCAGCGAGGAAGCAAGTCTTCGGTGAGAATCTTCGGTTGGTGTCAAATAGCCGTCATCGCTATCGACCATATTGAGCGAAATTTCTTCGTTTCCATCACTCAAGTCATCGTGATCATGTAGGGGCGAACGTTCATCTTGTTGTTGGTCAGTGTCATTCAGTAATTCATTCTCGTCGACATCGCTATTCCTAGAGAGCTTGAATGTTTTGAAACTTTCTTGAATGTGGAAAGAGTAATTGGAGAGCGGTTGGCTCGAGGTAGAAGGTTGTTGTTCTTCTTCTAAAGAAACAGTGTTATTGAAGAAGTAGTGAGAGGATGGTTGTGTTGGTTTCATAGTGATGATGAGGTGGTTAAGGAAGGGGTATTTGGTAGGTGGTATCGAATGATGAACAATTAGGGAAAGCTGGTGAATGAGGGATGAAAGTGTTCGGAACGAGTACGAATGAAGACGAACAATGCAAATGATGGTTGAACTACAAGGTACTAAACCTAGAGATGTACTTTACAAGATTAGTTACTACAGTTGGAGCTAGAATGTGGAGCATTAAATGGATTCTTCTTCTGGTGCGTGAGTGAGAAGCCTTTTTAGAAAGGATCAGAAACCTCACACAAACGCAGCGACCAGTCAGCGAGAGAGAATAAAACCGAAAAAATTCAGCGTTTTTCGGAAGGGAGAATCTAGAGAGAGAAAGGCGGCAGCGAACGAATGAGAGTTTTTTTTTGTATGGAGTGGCGAGTTGGTTTGCCAAAGCCTATTTATAGGGCGCAAACAAAAATATGATGTGCGAGGAGCATCATAGCCAACAAAGCAAATCACATAAATGGTTCTTCACACTTTAGAAAAGACAACACTTGCGATTCACGGAAAAAAATAAAGTTTAACAAAATCAGCGAGGTTATATAATAATATATTGTTGCTTTCCAGTGGACAAGATTCCATAAGTTTCAAAGGGAAAGGAATTATAAATTTGTGTGATTGTCGTCATGTCATCAGTGACATTAAACCAAACAAATCATTGACTCGATCACGTTGGCTTTTTGAAATAAGATCATGGATTATTTGTGCATGAAAGGCTTGGTTTCAGTGCAAATTGATGAAACAAAGTTCGGAGCCAACGCGTAAATATACAGAATTGTTAAATATGCAACAGAAAACATTCTGTGTGTGTCACAAAGACGAAATTTCACACTATCAAAATATGTTTGCCTTTCAAAAATGTTTTCGCGTGGTAAAAGGACGTTGACTACAGAAGAGAAACAACTCATGAATTGTTTCAGTTGCCGAACAGATACCACCATTTGTGCTGAAGTACGAAAAAAGTAATATGAAATTTGGCTTGGTTATTCTATTTTGTAAAAACATGATAAATTCGGAGCTGGAAATCTCGAAGAGATCAAAACATGAAAGAACTCAAAAGTACCGTACCACTTTTGAACAGTTATTATTCTTTGTTTTTGTGAAACGAGGTTCTGGCGCCATTTTGTGGAAATCCAAAAGAATCGTGTTGTATACGAAGTGACCATGTGAAAATCTGACTGTTCTTTCTCTTTCCTTTTTGTCTCTGCTCTTTGATCACTTTACTTTTGGAAATGAAGAGTGTGGAAAGTTCTTTCATGGATTTCATAATCGAAGATGTAGAAAAGCTCACCTCCCGTTCAAAGAGACCTTGGTCAAACTGTAATAGTTCCCACTCAATGAGTGAAGGTAATCAGATTCAGATTGTCCTCTTTGAAATCATTTAACTTGTTCATTCAGTTTCTTTATTTTGAAGGCTCTATTTAGATGAGATCACCCAACATTTGAACAGGAGTGTAAAACCATAGGAGTTGCAAGGTCCACCATACACACACAACGAAAACCCTCTTTTTCTGTGGTCTTAATGTTTTTATTCTTCCATTTGGAAGAAAAACAATCGAACGGGAAGGAGATGAGAGCACGACTCGATAGTGTTTGGATCCTGACTTTTCTGCCTTCAATATTTGGAATCAGCACCTATTTTGTAAGACACAAGGAATTGCTGCTCCAATACAAAAAAATGCAAGAAGTCTTATCGAGGGAAATTCTCTCGAGAAATAATGAACATTCTGCAGATAGAGAGACAATTCGGAAAAAGACTTTGATTAGAATTACAGTGTCTGCTTCTTTATTAATAATTTTTTGCTTGCTGTTGATGATAACAGTAGCTCTCGGAGCATTGTTTTTGTATATATTCGGAACATCATCAATTCAGGCTCGTAACTCTGTGGACGAACCTGTTTTGAGTGATGCCATTTCGTGTACAGTGAAAGTAAGAACTTATAACTGTACCGATGATGAAAGTTTAGATGAATTACTCGAGAAAAAAGACCCATGGACCTTTGGAGACTTTTTTGTTAAATTATTTGCTTTGGTAGTTGCACTTGATGATCCAGATCATACAATTTGGTTTAATGGAACCTCTATTAATGCTGAAAAAGTAAAACTGAAAATGTGTCATGTTCAAGTCAATTACACAATTGATGACACACAAAAGACGGAGGAAACTCTGGATAGCTTTATTTATAAATACAGCATTGACGACGGAGAAGAGCTCATTTTCAAAAAAGGAGATGAGAAATTATTCACAAAACCATCCTCTTCAGTGAGCGTCATTCCAACAAATTATTTAATGTTTTCACAAGATGGTGACATCAGAACATGCTATGTCCATCCTATTCATCGAAATTTAGTTGGATTCAGTGAAAGAACGATAGATTACTACTATCCTGGACGATCGTCTCTCACATCTACTTGTGGATATCTTGCATTATCATTTATGATCATCAGTGGAGGCATTTGTGCATTTCTAGTAATTCCACTCACAGTATTCTCAATTCACAAATGCATTTCATACAAACGAGATGTAGAAACAATGGAGCACATGGAAATGAACGATCAAGAGAGTGAAGCAAGTGATAGTGGTAGCCAAGTTTCTGACGATGGACGAAGATACTTTTAAAAAGGAACTTTTGCAACCATAGATTTTCAAACCTTACTAGTATTTCTTTACAAAATTAAGAGTGGTACAGAGGTTTAACTTAAGTGTAACTTTGTGTTGGAATACTCTTCGACTTTGAGACAGCTTAATTGTGCATAAATTTGTTTTCTATTTTCATAAAAATGTCCACAATTAAACTCTTCGTCTTTCACTTGCTTTTGATATTGATTTCAACAGCAGCAAGTATTCATGCCTCTCTCCGAAAACTCTCGGAACAAGAAGTTAAAGAATTAGTTGCAAGTATACAATCACATAGACTGGAAGCCTCTTCGTCGGGATCATCAACATCCAGCAAAGTTCTGGGTTTTGTAACTCCATGGAATTCAGCAGGCTATGATGTTGCAAAGAGAAGTAACCACAATATTAAATACATTAGCCCAGTATGGTTACAATTGAGACCTGCGCAAGGCCGAAATGCCTTTGAAATTACAGGTCTTCAAGATGTTGATCTGAAGTGGATGAAAGAGGTGAAGAAAAATAATGTCGGAGGTAAATAAGCCTTGAATGATCAACGAATTTAAAATTACAACATTTATTGTTCATGATCATTGAAATGGTACGACGAATATCTAAAACAATTACTACTGAAATCGAATGGAATGTATAATTGGATAGCTAAAATATTACCACGAATTCAGTTTGATTATGCACATTGGTCAAAGGAGTACATGCAAATGTTTTATGGACATGCTACATTTTCAAAACAAGTGCATCAACCAGTGGTGGACAGAATCGGACAACTCATTCGTGCCTATGATTTGGATGGTATTGTGCTTGAAATTGGTTTTTTACAATTTGAGCATATCAAACATGTGATGGTTCCCTTCTTGAAAAATCTTAAAGAAAAGTTGCAAGGAATGCAAAAGTCATCACGTTTTGAAATTTATTTAGTAGTTCCTTCGGTTTTGCCAAATCCAAACGATTCAAATACGCCAAATGCTCTTTTCGAAAGAGATCATTTGCGTTTGATTTCACCTTATGTGGATGGATTTTTAGTAATGACCTACGACTATTTCTCAAACAAGAGATCAAGAAATCAATCCACACAATATGTTTTCAATTCACCTCTGAAAGGATTTATTGATTACACAGTGGATTATTTCACAGAGGGTGGAAAGAGAAGTGACATCGCCAACAAGATACTGCTTGGATTGAACTTTTATGGAGTTGAAATCTCCACAAAACATTTATCCTCTAACAAATTGTTGTCTCAACTTGTGGAAGAACAGAGAGATGTAAATTCCGAGGAGCTTATTTCCAATTGGCTCAAAACGTATGCTTCTCCAAAATTAGATTTCATCATTGGTGGAAAATTCAAAGAACATCTCAACGATTACCATCTTCAAAATGTTTTGTTTGATTCAGACGCCCAGGAGTATTTATTTGAATTTATTGAAGGTGACCAATTGATTCTTGTGGTATTCCCAACTCCACAAACGATTCAAACAAGAGTCCAATTTGCCAAGCAGCACAATTTAGGAGGAGTCATGGTTTGGGAGCTTGGACAAGGCCTCGATTCCTTCTATCCCTCTCTTTCCAAGTAATGGTAAATGAAGTTGGATGAAATTTTCGCAAAAGTGTGAAAAATCTGAAAAAATCAACCAGCTTTTTTACAAGGAGCAACGTTCAGCATTGGAAACCAAGAACGAATCCTTTGTTTCGAATCACTCCTTCTAATAATCATCATATTCCAAAGTAAAGTTCGAAATGTTATCGGAGCGGTTGCAAACTGTTAAAATTGCCACCAAGAATATTTTCCAGACATCCCTGACCACATCGGAAATTAATGATGATTCAAAAGGATCAATTTCGTTATGGTATGTCTTTTTTATTATTATGATTCATCAATATTATTATCAATTTGGATAATACTACATCGTCATTAACAACAAAATATTCCACTTTGATGATGATCAAATCCATTCATTCATTCAATCGAAAAAACAATCATCCTTCGAACAACCCAAACCTCAGCGAATCCATCTACAAGTTACTCTCGGATGGTCTATTTCTGAGTTATAACTTGCAAGACATCTTCCGATATATTTACACGAATTTTGCAATGTTGGCTGCGAACAAAAGTTTCACAATTGATACAATAGATTTGAAACAAAAAATCAAACAATTACAAAATATACCGAATCGAGATGAGTCCTCTGTAAAATTTATTCTCAATGAGAAATTAATTGTGGATTTGATTGAGTTAATGTCTGCCATTCCAAAAGAGTAAGTCTCAAGAATTACCATCATGACGAAATAATTTATTAATAATCTGTGAAATAATTAGAAAGTTTTATAATGAAAAGGTGAACGATTTATTGTTTAAGGATGAAGAAATGGTATTTCTCAAAAGTTTAGTGACACCATTGTTAACCATTAATTTTCGATTGTAAGTGTCCATTAATGATGAAAATATTATTCACAACATTTTGCATCCACACAGCCAAATGCCAAATCTCGAAGAAGATGATATTGTTGTGACATCGACAAGAAAAAAGAAGAAGAAAAAGAAGGACAAGAAAATCATTTCAACAAAAAACTTAGAAAAATCAAATACGACAACAGAGACAGAGACCAGCACTCCAACAAGTGATATGGATAAAAGTTTTTCAGGCTCACCTGCCACTCCATCTGTATCTCAAATCGAGAAACGTTCAAACAATCAGAACGAGACTATGAATTCAACTTCTTCAAAACAAAATGTGACAAGGCAAGGAGATCTTACACCTCTTTCTACACAATCATCGTTGACATCAATAACCGTTGCTGAAGAGCCTGAGGACTTACTTGAAGATTTCAACCCTTATGAAGGGATGACGAAACAACAAGCGCTTGACAATATGCCAGAACATTTGAGAAGAGAAGAAAGAGAAGTGAAACCGTCTCTCTCGATATTGAAGAATACAGAGAAAGAAAATACGAATGAACTTGAAGAGAAACAATCAAGTTCTAGCTCATTCAAGGTAGAAACAGAAAAATATGTCACCTCATTGTCACAAAACACTTCGACAACAGAAATTACTGAAACCACACAAGTGGATTCATCGATCGAGCCAGAAAAAGTACAAGTTTTAACACCTCAGATAGAAAATAATACAATGAATGAAAAAGAACCTTTAGAAATAACACAAGCTCTCTCTGGGAATGATGCAAAAGAGGAATCGAATGTGAAAACTAATGATCAAAATTATTCTAGCGAAGAAAAAGAGGAAACTACTCCTTCTTCACCTATTAAGAATCCAGAAGATCTTTCACAAAAGCAAATTGAGAACTCAAAAGATATTCAAACAATTATTACTTCTCCACCACAAGAAGAAGAACAACATCAATCAAATGGCCACTCAACTCCACATCAACTTTCATTTATTTCATCTGAAATTTTAGAACAATTGAAACGCATTCTCTCCTTATTAATGAATCACAAATATTCGCCTCATTTTAACACACCGGTGGATGACAAAGTGGCAGAATTTTCAGATTATTACAAATTTACCAAAAAACCAATGGATTTCGACACAATCAAAACCAAGTTAGAATCAAACAAATTTAACACAGTAGACGAATTTATTAGAGATGTTCAACTCGTATTCAACAATACTTTTATGTATCATTTAGAGTCTGCTCCACAAGTGAAAATGGCTCACGTACTTCAAGATATTTTTGAAAGAGAGCTTGACCTTGCCATACCGTCGTGGAGAAGTCTTGACCTTTCACCACAAGTAGAAGCTCATAGTGATGGATTTTCAGATCGTTGTGACTCTGAAAATTCTAATGAGGCAGCTTTGGAAGCGTATTTCACACCAAAATCTGCGAACAAGGAGGGAAATGATTTTCCCCCCACTCCTCCAACATACCGTCTTGAACAAACAGAAATACCACAACAAGCTTTCCCTAATATTTCTATGCATTCATTATCAATGAAAACAGCAACTCAAGAAAATACTCTTTCTTTGAATAGAGTTGATTTTGAAGTCGATTCTCTTCTCAAAGATACGGTTACCAATGATTCAGAGGATGACTCTGACAGTTTGAGTGAATTTGAAGAAGATGCTAAAGAAATTGAAGAAGATCACGATGGGGAACCTATTGCCATCACGTCGATAAAACAAGAGACCACTCTTGTTGATGCAATAAGGCCAATGTTTCAATCGTCGGATTCTGTGTGTAAAATGTTAACAGCATCGGAAATGTATTCCTTCTTCTCGAGTTATTTGGACAATGTGTTGAAAACTAATGAATTGAAAATAGCTCTCAAGGTCAAGAAGGATCGCTATGAGAATATACTTGAAAGAATTCCCTTTGTAAAGAATCGAGATTTTGTTCTTGAAGATTCACTTCCACAAACCACAGTCTTAATGAATCTTTCCATTTTAGGAGAAAAATTAAGATACAGTGAAGATCGTCTCAAATTGAAGGAAGTTCAACTCATGAAGGAATATGAAAGACAATTACAATCAATGAAAAAGAAAGAATTAGAATTTGAGGAATTACGAAAAGAATTTGAAGAAAAAGAAAAAGCATGGCTGAAAGAAAAATTCGAACTTGAATCTCATTTAACACAGGCCAAACAAACCATTTTAGAGAAGGAAAAAGAAATTGAAGAATTGAAGAATGTGCCATTACTTTTGAATCAATCATTGCCACCACAATCGTCACAAACATCTCAGGAAGAAAAAATCGACCGTCAAATTGACACGGATGAATTTATTTTAATTGAAAAAGTGGTTGTGGTGCCGTCAAGTTCATCCGATTCTTCTTCGAGAGGTCAAAAATCCATAACAACACCCGTGAATCCTCAAGAAAATGATTTTCACATGATTGGAGGAAACAATGAAGATGATGAACCTCTCACTGAAGACGAAACAAGTGAGATTTGCTCGGTTGTGACGGAACAACAACTCATTCTCGAAGAGGAAGATAGCATTCGATTATCACCCTATCAAAAACAAGATCAAACCAAACAAATTCAACTTCAAGATGGAAAATGTCCATGTGGAAGAGAATTAGCAAAGGATTATGGATTTCTTAGAAAACCAAGATATTGTCATTATAACAACAAATATTATTGCATGAAATGTCACTCGAATTCATTCAATGAGATTATCCCTGCCAAGATATTATTCAACTGGGACTTTAAGCTCTATCGAGTTTGTGATGAAGCTTCCAAATATCTTAAAAGTGTTTACAATCAACCAATTATTTGTGTGAGCGCTGTGAAACCAACACTTTTTGATGAAATTGAAAATTTAGGAATGGCTAGAATGATCAGAAAAAGACTCATCATTCAATGGGAATATATTTCAAGATGTCCATTGAAAGATAATCTCATTACACAACACAAACTGAAGCACAAGTTGCATTATGTGACAGATACTGAAATGTATAGCATCAAAAATCTTTATGAGCTCAATGGAAAGCAGAGCGAATCACCATTTTTGAAAAAGCTCTCTCGTTTGTTTCATGTGTTTAGTGATCATATTGTGAATCAGTGTGGTTTTTGTAAAACAAAAGCGAAGAGTTTCTGTCCAAATTGTAAGAATGACACTCCAATTTACGAGTTCAATATCAGTCAAGTGATCAAATGTCCTGGCTGCAAGCTTGTCTTTCACAAATCATGCTTTGTGAACAAGAAAGGTGTTGTGGCTTGTCCAGTGTGCAACGATGATGAGTAAATGCTTGAATATATTTTTCGGAAATGAGTTCACTTGGAATTGTTTATGATGATGTGTTCGTTGAATTTCATATGAAAAGATTTCCATACAATTTCAACTAATTTGAAGGTGATCTTTAATAGCGATTGATGTACATGTTGGGATCTTGAATAGAGTTAAATTTCCCAATACAGAGACCAAAGAATATGAACATCACTGGAATGTAAAATTGAGGTAAAACATTAAACCACAAATGAAGGTTATCAGAGATGGTATTCGAGGCACCTAATACACTTAATTCTCTGACATAAATTTGTGGAATTTCTAAAAAGACATTTTGCATCAAAAAGACAAAACAATACACCAAAATCAATATAGACATGATTGCAACAAGTCTTGCAGCTTGTCTTGTTTTGAGTGACACTTGTTCTTCCGTCTCGTTAAAATCCACATCCACATGATCGACCACATGTTTGTATTCATTTTTCATTCTCGAACTTAATACGAGGAGAAATAATGAGCAAATTCCTAAAATCAAAACATGTGATAAATTCGTTGACCAATGAGCTGTTTCCACACTATTCACAGAAACAAAATTACAAAATAAATGCATGATGAAAATCAGAGGTGTGACCAAATATCCAAAACAACATCCAAACACTCCCAAAAACACCAACATGGAAATAAAAAAAGAAAACCATTTTCCATGATATTTCATCACCGATACTTTGCATGCTTTCCGAATTCCTTCAAAAACTAATTCCAAAACAAACCATGTGAAACACACTTGAAATAAATAATCCGAAACAACGAGAGCGATGGATCCAGACCAATAAACCGTTTGATATTTATCCTGAACATACATCCATCCATACCAAATAAAGGTTGCCATTTCGAGTATTTTCAGCGATAAACAAATCATTCCAATCCGAGCTAATTTTAATGTCGATGACACATGGAAGGCCATCATGAATGTATTATTTAATTGATTTTTGTTTCCTTTTGAACGTATAATGATCCAATAGAGAAAGAAACATGCGATCAGTACCAACAAGAGAAATCCAAACGCCGAAGTGTACGTCGTGAGAATGTACAGCGAGAGAGACGTGGGAAGAAAATGAGACATTTTTTCGGAGTTGTTCTTTTTTCACATCCATGTCATCATTAAAAAAGTGGAAGAGTTACAATAATAATTGGTGTTATTTCACATAAAAAGAGAACTCGATAAATTTATTCTATTGCGATTTGTCTAATGGCGAACAAACTCGACGAGAGAATTACATGACCCAACAACAAGTCATGAATGCCAAAACTGTCCATTTCAGCAAAGGTGCTGTGAAAGTGATGGCATTGTTTAGAGCTCTAAAGGAATTCTTTGGAGATGTTTTGAATATTAATATAAGGTTTAAATCCATTTTGTGGAGTCCATCCTGGATTGGTGGTTGAAGATCCTCTCTGATAAGCACCACAATCCAAAAAAGTAGCACCACTTCGAACATTTCCATTAAAATCATAATTCACACTTTGTGAGAGAGATGCCTTTCCCAATACAGAGCTTGTTGAAGTTGGAAAGAGATTGTAAGGAAGTGTTGAAGTTTGTTGAAAATCAGAATTCAAATTTCCAATTTTCAAAGTGGCATTGAGTGTGAAGAATGTGGACATGCCTAGTAGAACGTGTGTTCTAGTACAAGAAATATACTCAGAGGAGAGATCGTAGTTGGACCTTTCGCGATTCTCAAAACGTGATTTACAGAATATTCAATAGATTCTACAATCTTTACAGAAAGGATGCTCATCCAATATCATCCCCTGTGTCGAAGATATTGCTTTGGTTGTCCAACCTGTAAATGCAAACCAAGACCTTGTAAAGCGAGTTGATCCCATCACACTCAGTCATAGAATGTGACATGGAGTGAACGAAGCAAAATATTTAATGATTAAAACGATTTTACTTTTGTCAACCAATGGGAGTATGCAATATATCCAACAAGGTTTGTAATACTTTGTCATCGGTGACCACTGTCAAATGGGTCACATTGAAAAATCGATGAACCATGACTGGTTTTTGTTGCTGCTTTGCAAAATCGTCACAAATGGCAAGTGAATATAAAGGAACTGTTCCATCACCATCATCGATTTTAAGTGCCTCGCTATGATGCAAAATGTCATCCAAGACAAGTTCACTTAATGGTTTTTGTCCTGAATATTGTAAATGAGCTAATGATTTCACTCCATATCCATACACACAATGTGTGGAAACATTAGGAGCTCTAAATTTCACATTTTCATATTCTGTATATTCATGTGCAAATATTTCCCAAGTTTTATCCATCTTGGCTTCCTTATAGAGTTGTTTGATACTTGATGGATTGGCATAATAATCTTGACGTGTACCATTTGGAGAAATGTAAGAAAATATTGGATAATCAAAATGTTGAGACATGACTGGAATCATAAAGTTTGGACCACCAAAGGATTGAGTCAATTTTTTGGCATTTGTTTGTGAAAACGTTGGAACTCCATAATTAGAGCCTGCAATAGCCAATGGCAATGCAATGGGAGCTCCATCAAAAGCTCCTGCAAAAGGAATAAAATGTGAAATATACTTGTCTTTCCATGACTGTGAGACATAATTTGCTAAAAAGTATTGAACAAAAGGTCCTCCCATCGAATGTCCCAATAGAGACACAGGTACATTTCCATTCCTTGAAAAAGTATCTTCAATTAATTGTTGAAATGCATAGAAATCTCCTCCAGTGGTGCTATTTCGTGTGCTCCATTCTACGACTCCCAATCTCCAGTCGTAAGGCATTGCCCTTAATGATTTTCCAATTTCATATCCATTGCTGACTAATAAATTAATCATTTTGATCATGTATCCACTTTGAGAAGTTGCTTCCTTCACCAAATGAGTGACACTTTCCACACCACCATAATCCTTTCCAAATATTTTCACATTGGGATCAAGTGGTCTCAGTAACTTTTTTCGATCTATGGTTGAATTCTCTCCTTCCTTTAATTCAATCGACAGGTCATGCATGAAGCAATCCTCAGTCAAATAAGGCACTAACTCTTCCATCGAAATCCAAATTTGAAAAGGATCTGTCGTGCGATGACACCACCAATGAGGTTCTGCTGCATTTTCACGTTTAGACATGAGAACGACACCACCCAATCCACCCACAAGAATTAATGGATAACCTGTCAGCTTGGGTTTAGAAATGGTCTTGAAGGACTTTTGGACCTTGGTGTTCTTGTATTGCCTTAGGGTGAGTGTTGTTGTGTCAAAAGAGATTGATTGCTGAGAATCATCCTCACGGTGATTCTGATCCGGGTCTTGTCGTCGAATATGGAGGAGGACATTCAAATCATCATCCCTTCGAGAATTTAACTCAGAGGATGATAACATCATGATCTGAAAAGGATTCATTCCCATGGTTTCAAAAATTGATTTCTTATTTCTTTGGTTCGTGATGAGGGGATGATTCATTTGGATGTTGTTGTTGTGTGTAGACTTTGATGCTAAAGGAATCCTTTTGATGGAATTATTTGAAGGAATTTCAGAGGTACTACATGTAGGAATGAAGAGAGCCATGATCATCACTAACATCATCATCAACACCACAACCACTTGGGTCATGAACCACAACAATGATGATGATGGTGGCGGAGAGGGTTGTATCATTTCTTTTGGAAGACTCGCACACCAAAGAATCCGTTCTTCTTCTAATATAATTAATCGGAGAGAGGTCAGCAGTTAGAGATTCGGGATTTTAAAATCGCTCTCTCTCGTTCTAATTGGTGTTTAATTAGGATCAAATATTAAATTCAATGATCAATGAATCCATCTACGGAATTTTCAACGCATCTATTTCAAAATGAAGATAGCTCACGTGAGAGTTTGATGGAAATACACTCCAAAGTTTTGAAAGGGTTGTTTGTTTTTTGTAAATAAAAAGCTCCACACCATTGAAAAAGTATGACATAAGATTGCAGTCCAACTGTTTCTTGATCATGTTTATGTTTCGTTACACCTGGCAACTTTATCAAATCACACGAATGTGAACTCGAGATTATTGAATATCTCTGTCTTTTTGGTGTTCAACAGTCTACCTGTCCGGCTTGATTCTTTCTTTCCGTTTAGACTTTTTTAAAAAATAGCTTGTGGCTGTCACTAATCAATTCCGTGTAGATAGAGCAGTTGAATCAACAAACACATCAACAATATCAACCACAATAATTTTGAAACCGTCATCAACCTATTGATCATCATCACCATGTCTGAAACAGCATCTGCAACAGTTGAAAACGTTCAAAAGAACATTAAACAAAACCTTGATCGCATCAAAGAAGATGCCCAAAAACTCGTTCGTAATCTCAAGGAGAAGAAAACCAACCTCTCATCGGATGATCTTCGTGTTCTCTCGTTAGGCTTACTCGCTTTCTGGACTCTCTTGGCACTTCTCGTTCCAGGTATTCTTCGTTTCTTGTTTGCAAGTTCTCTCTCCATCACCACATCAGGCAGTTATGATGCGGTTCGTGTCGTTGATGAATTTGTAAGATTGAGTGGAGCCTTTTCATTGGCTTTGATGGTTTTGAATTATTTGAGTCTTTCATGGCCTATTGATGCTCAGAATGATATCTCGAGAGTGATGACTCTCTTCAACGCTTTGGTATTTGGAGTGAGTTTGATTGGTTTGATGAGTGGTGCCTCTTTCCTTTATGTGTTGGTTGCCGGAGTGAGTGGAGCGTTGTCCTTCTTCTATGCCAAGGCTGCTAAATTGTTTTAAAACTACTGTTCAACAATAGCAAATCTTTGTGTGTTTGGAATGTTGATGGGTTGAAGCAGTAACTTTTTGAATGATAATTTAAATAATATATCACAATTATTATTTATTATTTAAATCTGTATAAATATATTACAATTTTTATTATTATTGTAAAAACTTTGTATAAGCTGTGTTGGTACCAACTACATTCAGATTTCAAGATTATTGAATTGAAACAAACATAGAGTGTCCTGCTTGTGAACAACAATGGCAAACACTTTTTAAGGCAACCCAGTTGAACATTAATGTTGAATATTCAGCTCGAGTGGGCCTAATGAATTTGGAAATGTTACCCAATCACTGGCATCCTCAATACATCTTGACCTTTCCCTTCAAGAGTTGGCTATCATATTCTCTTATATTTGTTCAAACCGAATGCAAGGTAGAATAAGGCAACAAGATTAATTGAAAAATTATATCATGATAAAGAAATCACCTACATGTAGTATTTCCTTCAATGTAAAAGCAATCTCGACTAAATAAGAGTTCTTTGTTAGTATCTCATTCTCCGTACTTGTTCGACATCCAAGCCAACAAGAATCCCTGACTTCCAAGTAAGCCATGAAGAATCCTCTAAATACACACTGTGGGTGCACATCCTTTGTTCCTGACGAACACCACCAATAAAAAAGAATACAGACAAGAGTAAGTGCATAAGAATGCTTCAGTTGGCAGAGGGCAAGCCTAATAGTTTTCATTCATTCAACAACACACGTGTTTGGAAAAGACTGAAGTACAAGTGTGATCAAAAAAAATGCAAGAGATTGATTCATCGGAGACAACAAACAAAAAGACCAATAGCCAAGAGGAAAAACCTTCTTCCAGCGACATTGTTTCATCATCATCGACAACTAGTTCAAAAAATGTTTCTACCTCGGGAGCTAACTCGGAAGGCGCCCAACAAGAACAATCAGACTTGGCGAATAGAATTATGAGTTTGATGATTATGATTTCAGTAGTGGTTGTTGCGTTTTGGCTAAGATCTCAAAATAAGAATAAGAGCCAAGTTGATGTATTGGAGAGAAAATTAAGTGTGTTTGTAGTTCCCGAATTATTTGTAACCGGATCAGAGGGAAGTCAACGAAGGGATAATATTGATTCTCTTGTTGTGTTGAATCACAAATGGCTAATTACTACTGCAAAAGCTACAAATTCTTTGTTTGTTTTCGATGCCAAAACTGGTGAATATTTATTTACAAAACACCTTAAAACTGGTGATTATGAAGCAAACAGACCAAATGGTATTACCCTTTATAAGATATTCAACAAAGATTTTTTGTTTGTTACTGAAAGAGATGGAAAGAGAGTATGCATTGTCGATATTGAAAGCGACTTTAAGATCCTTTATTCATTTGGAAATGAAATACTTCAACGACCATATGCTTTGGATATTATCAAAACAGAAAAGCTCATAGGCCCAAACTCTGAACATTATCATGTATTTGTGACAGACAACTATATGATACAAGATGAGAAGGGTAAACACAAAATAGTGCCTCCACAACATTTGCTCGACAAAAGAGTTCAATTATTCGAAGTCGTAGCATCTAAAAAAGAAAACTCAGAAATAACTTTTGAGGCATCTTACTCCAAGAAGATTGGAAGTATTACAGAAAATGTGGGTGCTTCTGGAGCTTTGAATATTGTAGAAACCATTGTGATCGATGAAGCATACAATAGATTGCTTATTGCGGATGAGCACGAGCTCAACGTTAAGATTTATAATTTCAAATCACATGACTTTTCTGGAGAGACATTGGGGCTAACTACCACTCATGAACCTTCAGATAATTCTAAATGTCCAAAAAACTTCTTTTTTGAGGGAGAACCTGAAGGATTTGTCATATTTTCATGTCAAACTACACAACCAGCAAGAAATGTGAAAACAGGATTTTACATTTTTACAGACCAGTTAGACAAGAGAACCAAGTTCCATATTGTGAGGCGAGACAATTTATGCTATGTCGCATCATTCATGGGCAATGTTGTCTCTAAAACAGATGGTGTTACCATCGATGAAACTCTAGGAATTTTCTATGCTGTGCATAATGACAGTGTTATTGGAACGTTCAAGCTGGATGATATCGTACAAAATGTTGTCAAGAAAAATCTTGACTCTTCTGAATTTAAAAAGATTTGCCCTCGCTAGATAAGACGATTTCAAGTTACACATTGAGTTTGTTGTATATGACATGCGAAAGACACGTTGTATATTTATTACAAAGAAGTGAGTCCTCATTGACAATGACATTATAAATTTCTATTCTCTCATTAGTAAACACATAAAACCTTTTGCACCTATGCTTGGAGGGGGAAGAAGTCTCAGTTGTTGTTTAACCACAAAAAAATGGCCTCATCATCTTCCCCTACTGCAGAAACTGTCATTCTCTCCGAAGCTCTTGATGCCAGTAACAAGCCTATCATCGCTGTGGATATCGATGAAGTGCTCACACCTTTTGTTCCGTTATTGATTGAATTTTATAACAAGCACCACTTGTTAGAGGGACAACAACCACTCGATATGAAAATGTTTCACTCCTATCATTTCCGAGATGTATGGGATGGAAGTGAAGAAAGGTCAAAACAAATTGTGGACGAATTTCTTCAAAGTGAATTGTTTTTAGGACAACCAATTTTGGATGAGACTGCTTTTGACGTTTTACAAAGTTTATCTACAAAATACAAACTAGTCATCGTAACATCTCGACAACACAAACTTAAGGAACAAACACAAATGTTTCTACAGAAATATTTTCCCAACACTTTCGCTGAAATATTAATGGGAAATCACTATGGAGAGACTGGCCAAACTCAAATGACAAAACCTGAAATGTGTCGTCAATTGAATGCTGTTTTACTGATTGATGACTCTCTTAAATATTGTCAACAATGCGTAGATGAGAAAATTCCTGCAATTTTATTTGGAAATTATGCATGGAATGTAAATAGTCAGCCATTGGATTCACATTGGATTATTCGAGTGGATGGATGGTCACAAGTTGAACAAGCTGTGGAGACCATGCTTAAACAGCACAACCATATTTGAGCTTAGTCATTCGAAAATTTTGCATTATCATGGATTTCCACTTATTGTAATTTTGCTTAATTTCATCAATATTGAATTTATGAGAATCGTTTCTGTTTTGCCAATTCTCGAATTAATACCAACACAAAATTTAAATAAATAATTAAAAAATGAAACAAATTTTCCGTCCTCGTAATCTCTTTCTCGCCACAGCAATCGTTGGAGGTGGCTTGTTTTCCGTTAATGCAATACTCAAGAGCAAGCACAACTTGTACGAAGAGAGCGGTAACAGCTTATTAAAAGCGTTTGATAGAAAGGCCTTGTTTGAACATCAAGCAACGGAGCAATTAGGCTTACCAAGAGATTCCGAAGGACAAGTCATTCTTCATACAGATAGAGCAGAGAATTTGAATGTGCTGGAAAATCAATCACCAGAAAATGAATTTGATGTGATTATTGTTGGTGGAGGCTCTGTTGGAGCTTCTGCTGCCCTTGATGCTTGCACGAGAGGAATGAAAGTGGTTGTTTTAGAGAGAAATGATTTTGCAAGCGGTACGTCGTCACGTGCCACCAAGATGGCACACGGCGGAGTAAGATATTTGGAGAAAGCTGTCATGAATTTAGATTGGAATGAACTGATGTTAGTCTATGAATGTTTGAGAGAAAGAAAGCATTTCTTTCAAGTGGCGCCTCATTTATCTTCTCCACTCAAATTATTGACACCTTGTTATTCATTATATGATTCTCTTAGAATGTATATTGGATTGACATTGTACGACATGTTGAGTGGATTTGAAGCAAGACTTGGATATTCAGGATGGGTCTCAAAGGCAAGGTCATTAGAACTGTGGCCTAGTCTCAAAAAAGAAGGCCTTTATGGATGCATGTCCTATTATGATGGAGTATTTAACGACTCTAGAATGAATATTAGTACGATTCTTACAGCAAATGCATTAGGAGCTTTAACATTGAATTATATGGAGGTTGTTGATTTGATCAAATCAGAAGAAAATAACAAAATTATTGGTGTTAAAGCGAGAGACAGGATTAATGGAAAAGAATATTCAATTCGAGGAAGGTGTGTTGTGAATGCTACAGGACCATTTGTTGATCAGTTAAGGAAAATGGACGATCCTAATTGTGTTCCCATAATTTCTCCATCAACAGGAACGCATATCACTTTCGACCTTGATAAATTCACATCAGGAATAGGGAAAAAGATGGGCGTACTGTTTCCAAAAACATCAGACGGAAGAGTTCTGTATTTGGTGCCATGGGAAGGAAAATTAATTGCAGGAACAACTGACACACCGTCCACACTAACAGAGAGACCAAGTCCAACAAACACCGATATTGATTTTATCATGAGTACCATGAAAACATGTTTAACTGTGCCTCTTTCTACATCAGATATTACTTCGAGTTGGACAGGAATTCGACCACTTGTTAAGCCAGTTGCTGTTGCCTTTGAATCCACGAAAACTCTTTCCAGAGACCATCACATTGAAACAAGCTCCAGTAATTTGGTTACCGTTGCAGGTGGAAAATGGACAAGTTTTAGAAAAATTGGAGAGGTAGGTTGTGCCCACATTGATGACGAATTCTTGTTAACATCACTTGACTTTTTAAGGACACCATTGACACGGTTATTTCAGTACGTCCTGATTTGGTTGGTCTTTTAGCAAAACCAATTTCAAGAACGTATTACACACCGCTGATTGGTGCCTCCTACCAATGGGAAGCCCTCAAGAACATCAAGCAAAGCCCTTCTGAAAAAGTCAGCAACGATTCATGGGAACATTTAAAACATTTTTATGGAGATAGAGCTCCATATATTGTTCAACTTTCTGAAACGAATGGCCTCACTCAATTACTCTCTCCTAAGTATCCATTTATTGAGGGTGAAGTTCTCTATCAAGCAAAATATGAAATGGCAGTGAAACCCTCTGATATTATTGCATATCGACTCAGTCTCATGTTTATCGATAGAAATGAATCCAAACAAGTGGCAAAGAGAGTTGTGGATATCATGGGAGATTATCACCAGTGGAATGACGAAACTAGAAGAAAACATCTTGAAGAAACACTTGCTTATATTGACGTTTGCACGAAATAAGGAATTGAGTCACAATTAAATCTAATTTATTGATTATAATCAAATACAAATTGCTAATTGAGTATGTGTATCTCCAGATTTTCATGATGAAGTGAGGAGAATAGCCGCTGAGGTGTGAGGACGTGCATTAACATTCAAAATCATTGTCGTAATGTTGGCTAGTATAATATTTATTTTCTTTATTGATTACGGAGGGAAACCATTTTGAGGGAAGAATTGCTACTTGATAAATTGCTTTTTCGTTTTACAGATCACATGTGTGATATTTGATAGAGTACTTTGTATTTTGCTTTCCCAACGAAATTGTGGACACTCGACGTCGAAAGGTGTGCACATTTCTTGTACTAGAACACACGTTCTACTAGGCTTGTGCATTCATCCTCCTCCTCCTCCTCCTCGAAAGGAATTAACATTCTTCTCACCTTTCAGTGGAATCCATAATTTTACAAACAAAAAAAAACTCCAAAACAGTGCTTCATTCGCGTTTGTACTTTTCTCTCATCATCATATACAGACCTCTCCTGAGTTGTACTATTCGCGCACTACCGCTACTCCGAAGCGATGTTGTTGGTATCAAGGCTCATCTCCTCACGCAGCTCCATCATGGCTGTAATGATCATGATGATGAAGATCCTACTAGTCCTTATTAGTCTATTAACCAGTCATCATGGTTGCCATGCTTTATGTTATGAAGTCTCAAGCTCCTCTCAACTCTGGAGTAAAATCAATTCACTCCAAGCAGGAGATGAATTGTTGATTCGAGGAGGATCCTACACGACCAATGTTGGAGGTTATTATAAACTTGTAACATTGAGAGGAACCTTAAATCAACCCATTCGAGTCTTTGCTCTCTCCAATGAAACTGTTTTAATCTCTGGTGATGCTGCTGCCTCTCAGAATATTGTGAATTTGGATGTTGAATATGTCGTGTTTGAGAATTTGAGATTTACATTGGGAAGTCGTGGAGTGAGATTGCAACATGCTCAACATTCCAAGTTTTTAAATTTGAAAGTGGATAATGCTGGAGATGCTGCATTCACAGCCAATGATTCTGGACAAACTTATTTGAATTTGACTATTCAAGGAAATGAAATTAGTAACACTCGAGGAACTGGTGAATGTTTTTATTTGGGATGCAACAATGCTGCATGTAAGATGATTGATTCAATCATTGAAAATAATTATTGTCATGACACAAATTCTGCTTCACAGGTAAGTATTTGTTAAGTGGTTTTGAAAAAGATTCATTCATGCATTCATATTGTTGATGAAATTGTCTTTTTTTGCGAATTTTGTAAAATGTATTTGTCTGTGTACTTGTACTGATCTTTCATAATGGCATGCATTCTGTATATAATGGATTCTTTGGCCTACTACACACATATTACATGTTCATGTATTTGTCTGTGCACTTGAACTGATGCATGTTCAAACACAAATGTCATTTATTA